CAAGTGTCCTACTACACTTTGTTCTACTGATTGTTTTCCTTCGAGTTGATGCCGCAATTAGAGAACAAACGGGGCCTTATGGGACTTTCAATTTTTCAGCGACCATCAACTGCTTCATTCACCCAATTTTTTAATTGCCAGTTATGAGCCATCGTATCCCGGATATTGCAAATCTCCATTCATTCGTGATTGGAAATTTTTGGGCCTTACCATTAACCTCAGCGCAAAGCAATCAATAACTCATGAGTTTCCCTTACTCATTATCCGCAGGAAGACAACGTGCGGGTACTTTGGGCCTTACAAGATTCAGATCCAGAACTGAACACACCAGTCTGGCACGGTGAAAGGAAGGGTGCAAGGGCCCTGAGAATTCGTGGCGCTGCGCCAAAACCATCACCGCCGCATAATCCCGATATCAGGCACTGGGACGTCAAATTGAATCAGGTTTGCAATCAATTTCTGTTCATGAAATTATCGATAAAAAAAACCCGAGATAGGCTGTCTTCATTTGCAATCTTGATTACAGTTCGCTGTCGATGATAAGCAGGATACAATTTACTGGTGCAAAATATTCAAAGCGCCACCGTTCAATAAGAAGCATCACATGATAGGGGTGCGTACCGATGGAGATTAAAATCATGTTCATTTTTCTCTCAGATTATTAATTATTATTTATTGCTATGTAAATTTAGTACGAACCATTGGTGGAGAAAGGCAACGAAGGATTAGTCCATCATATGATACTTTACGAGTGCGCTTCGACGTCTCCAGAGCTCGGTAAATATTCGAGAATCAGCGGAAGTTACTGCTATGATCCAACCATGCCGAGAGAGTGGGAAACATGCATCCAACCGATTGTTGCATGGGCCCGGGGAAGCAAAGGTTCGATGAATTCTCTTTCTCCGATGAGAGATGTGTAGGTTAGAGATGTGGAATGATCGTCATTTTCCACATCTCGATAAATTTTAATTCACCGATGAGTTTTTTTAATTTTCGAATTTATCGAAAATCGGTTGTCTCACGGTGACTCAAAAAAAGGTTCTGAATTGATTCAATGATGACTAAAAAAATTCATTTGGGTGTCCTTTTGACCGAGTTCGAAAATGAAGATGATAGCAATAAGCGTTATTTTGATTTACTTGAAAATTATCAAAAATGTTACGTATTTTGAAAATCAGAATTCTGGGGATATTTTTGAATATCATGCTTCAGATGAATTCAATCATAGCTTAAAATGTTTGTTTGAATGCCGTTAAGTCGAAGTTAAAAGATGATTACGATGAAAGGAAATGACTCTACTGTAGATCAGTATCAGAATGTTGGACTGAAAAATTAATTTTCCCTTTGTCAGGTGAATGGTTTGCAGAACATGTCGGTATTCCTGTAGCTGAGCACAAAGAGGGTTCCTATTACATGTTGGAAGTGCACTATAACAATCCGACTTTACAAAAGGCAATCGATAGCAGTGGAATTAGGCTCCACCTGACCCCGGTCTTGAGACCAAATGAGGCTGGTATTTTTGTCGCTGGTGTGGCTGTTAGTCCGCTTCATCTAATTCCACCTAGGCAGAAGGAATACGCCACTGCAGGCTACTGTAGTCCAGACTGTACCAATAAGGTAAATATTTATGAAGGTTTTCTGCAGACGTGAAGAGTCTAATCTCAAGGTCCAATGTTTGGAATGAAGGTAAATGATAAGAAAGAGGGCCCCACCACCAAACAAACAAAAAGATTACGTAATGAGAGATAATCGGGGAAAATGAAGAATTATGTTCAAATCCAAAAGACCTATTACGGAACACTTTTGCCAAATATGGAACATCGCGCGCCCAATTACGGAACATTAGAACTTTGTGAGACGGTGAAAGGTCAGGAACCCGAAGTAATAAGGATATTTTTGTAGGAAAATGTCAACAAGTTCAGATTATAATTGAAAATTGGAATTGTGATGCAAATTTTATTATGGAAAGAAACTCTTACTAGTGAACAAACGTAAAAATGAGTAATGTCGATCACGTGAACACATAACTGGACTTTCTTCGTATATGAATTTGTCAGAACAATTTAACAAGGAATAGAAACATAAGTGTCATTATATTTTCAGCTTATCAATTATTTATGTACTTTTGACTGAACCACTTCGGCACGTGCCAAACGAAAACATCAGTGTTCCGTCGATTGGAAATGCCATGAGAACCCAACCCAAATGGCGGAACACCCATATATTTGTAGAAATAGGAACTTGCGGATAAAATGAATGCAAAAATATGAAAAAATGAAGCTTTTAGGATCAATATTAGTCTGGACTTACGACGTTTGATGATTATTAACCCAAGTAACTTCGTTCGGCACATTAGCGGTCACACTGTTACATCTAACTACTCACCTGTCGCAAAATGACTGAAAATGGCAGATGGCAGGGTTTATTTCCATTATTGATGGAAATAAACGGGTTCATTAGCCGTATCATATAATTACGACGATTTCTCTCCAGCTTTTCCCCGAGGATGGTGTCAACGTGATATCGGTGGTCCTCCACTCTCACCTCGCCGGTCGTCGGCTGAGTTTAAAGCACATTCGTAACGGCGAAGAGCTTCCACACATTGCCCACGAGAATCACTTTGATTTCGATTATCAGCAGTCGCACAGCCTCGATGAGGAAGTGAAGATCCTTCCAGGCGATCAACTGGTCACTGAGTGCGTCTACGATACTCATGATCGACCGAATCCAACGTTGGGTGGATACGCTGCATCCCAAGAAATGTGTCTATCTTTCGTTGTTTATTATCCAAGGACAGAACTCGCTGGATGTTATTCAATGACTCCGGCTACCGATCTATTCAAGACCCTTGGGGTCACCAACTTCAAAGGAGTCACTCTGGATAATTTGGAGAAGTTATTCCTGACTACAGGGTAAGAATCATTGCTTTGGGAAAATCTGGCAATTGTTCGACAATTTTTTCCAATCATTTTCACAAAAACGACATTTCCAACACTTTTTTTTACGTTTTTACACAGTAAAAAAATTCAGTGTTAAGGGGTTTCGTGTGTAGATCACCGGGGGTGAAACGGAAGGGAGTCTCATTGTTCTCGAGCCCTGATTCAATCGCTGAGCACGAAATTTTCCAATTTTCAAGTAACTATTAAAGTGTGCATTTCAACATTTTTTGAATATTGATTTTATTTATCAGATTGATTGATTTTTTTCTCATCACCTACGGGTGTCAAATAATTTTTATTGGATGTTATTCTAATTATTGAAGTAATATTATAATGCGTCTCGAGTTGGTAAACCTGTCGAGTGTTTTCTCTCTCTCAGTTCCATGGTCCCACCCATACCTTTCCCATGATGCTCAGACATTCGAATCACGCGCCTGCGCGTGAGGGCGTAATTGCCCCGAAACTCATAATTTTCCGAATGATTTGTTCAAATAACTTTCTGATGAAATCGGAAAAAAATCTGAAACTTATACCTGTTCTCAAGAAAGATTTGATTTATCACCCACTAGTTTTTCCTCAATAGTTCATTATTTTTTTGGGTGCCATGGAAATTTCCCTAATTGAGAGTGGGGTAACCTCGGAGGTTACAGCTGGAGGGGTTACAAAAACATCAAAATTTCATTATTTTTTTTCTTGAAACTGAGATCTGACGAAAATGTGCAAAAATTCTCAATGATGCAGGATACTTAGAAATTTCTCCCATGAATTTTCCAATTTGTTTTCATTATTTTGACTTTTCAACCGGAATATCTTAATTATAATCCGTGCGTCCACACCAAAAACGGTGTGGACCTCGAAACTCATCCTGAATCTTTTACTGCGTAGGGTTGAGGCAGTAACTCTTCCGACGATCGTTCAACAGCAACTTCCGGTTTATCCGGCGACAAGACCCAGTGAAGAAGTCGACGAGGAGATTATAAAAGAAACAGAGACAGCGATAAAAGCTATAAAAGAATTCACAGAACAGGTTACGGATGACAATGTCTTTGCGAGACTTGTTATTGAGGATCCGAAGGAATTTAGAGGGCGAACGTTGGCGGAACATATGTCGGCGTTGGCGTGGACTGACGAGTTGCTCACGAGGCCCATTGAAAATCGACTCTATCACGGCAGACACATGACTTTCTGCAGAAAGCGCGATGACAAATTGGCTATTGTAAGATATTTATTCGTGCACAAACAAAAAAAGTCCATTAGCTTTAGCAAAAAATTTAAAAAAAATCGCATAAAATTAATAATCAAAAGTGGGATTAATTTTAATCCAAAATATACTTAACTCCTTTAGAGGAAATATTTTCTAAAGCCTAGAATTTTTTTTTTATTTCCGAGGGGCGATCTTGCAAAGACGGGGACCAATTTCGTTTAGACTCAGTGAATTTATGATGTTTTGTCTTCCAGCCATCGGATATCCAGATGTTTCCAAACTTCACAAGATTACCAGAGAAGAATCAAACTGTCTGTCGCGAAAGAAGAACGATGTCATCAGGAGCGATCTCACTCTACACTCTCACAACTTTTTACATTTTTGCTTTGAGTATTTTCCTCTGCTGAAAGGAAGACTCTCATACGCTTCGGAGCTCCTCCAAAGCTCTCTTGTACATTCGGAAAATATCACAAAAAATGTTGTATTAATTGGCTCAAATTATTTATTTTTCTTGTATTTTACGAAGTACTGTTTTCGAATATTTTTTATCCCATTTTTCGTATGTTATCTTCAAACGATCGTTGGAAACTGATCGTCACACGTAGTGAGAATACCTATTCCTTGTCTAGTTATGATTATTTTGATATTACGTTATTCAATTTTTTTATTTCAACGGGATGAGAACTCTTGCGAGGTGCCAAAATTTTCTAAACATTTCGCAACCAGGCGAAATATAACGAGATAATATAATGAAGAAAAAATTAATTGACAACAATGTGTACATAATATTTATAAGATGTATTTTATAATTTTTAATGAGTTGAAAAATGAGAGCTTTTTGTAACGCATGTTTTTTTTCTATTTGTGTATAAAGAAATCATTCACCAGCTGAGTAGTGTCTTATTTTCGTCAATCCTCATCCAAAAATGGGTCATTCTAATCGACATACGAGTGGGAAATTGCATACACTGAGAGCAAAACAAACGAGTCTTGCTTGGGCCAACAAAATTGCTAGTTGAAAATTGCCAAAAAAGAATTTGTTTGGTTCGAATTTGAAAGTCTCAAACATGAATAATTGTTCTGCGTTCGACAGCAACGAAATATTTGGCTCAAGAGGCGGATAACAAAGATTTTTCGGGAGCAAAATACGTATGGGAGTATCGAATAACGAAGGAGTAGTGCTAGAAATGACATTTCTTGCGTGTACAGAGAATGCAATTTTTTTGAACTACTAAATCTATTTTTGCGACAAAAATTTTTCATTCCGGTGCACTCTCTGCATGTTTGGCACAAAAAAATCCTTTTTTAATAATTTTCAAAAAACTATTTTCTTGGCACAAGTAAGACTTATTTGAGAACTTTGTCGTTTTCCTCTCAGTGTAGTTTCTTTTTGCTAGTCAATTACCAATATGATTCCGAATCATCATCATGATTATTCTTATTATCCCTTTGTTCTATACAACCGATTGTCTTTTTTCGATTCTATCTCTCCCCTCATCCCTTCGATAAAATGTTAACAGAAAAATTTTATTTATACTTACATGAATGAATTTGAAACATCACATTTAAAGAAACCGTCAGAAAGCTCAGTTTCAGGGGAATTCGTGAAAAATTCGAAATTTTCAACAATCATCATAAAAATCAAATCGTCCAATGAAGCTATCGTAATCATCCCTTAACTTCGACTTAATGGCATTAAAACAAACATTTTAAGCCATGTGCGAGGACATCTCCGGAATTCTGATTTTCAAAAAATACGAAATTTTCATAAATTTTCAAATAAATCAAAACAACAATTGTTGCTATCGCCGTCATCTTCGAAGTCGGACAAACGGACAGAAGACCAGTTGCTCAATAATCGCAAAAGAATAACAAAAAACTTGAATTTCCCTCAGCCCTTGAACCAACTAAAAATAACCCCCGAGTGTTATCACGAACGACTCAGTTACAGTTTAATTTTCCACTCAGTTGAACGTTCCATTCAAAGAGTTACGTGCGGTTCTACACTTTTTCTGTTCAACCTTCAGGACATTACACACCCCTACGCGTCAAATTTACCGGGGAGGGTAACCCACGTCAGACCGGGAAGGAGCCCATGTGGCTACCGCTGATAACCACAGATTGCACTAGAATCGAATTATCCCCGGTTCACCCCAGGATGTATAAAACGAGCGTCGACGAGAGGATCCAGTACCAGAGTTGCTGGAGACGCCGGGAAGTGCACAACTATCTCACGCCGTCGGAGAATTCTCAAGTTTCCCACAGCAACCCGAGTAGAAGTTCCTAAGTTGTTGCCGAGGTGAGTGAAAAAATCTGTCTAATATAAATTCTTCAGATTATTTTTCCCAATCGGATTTCGACCAATCAGAGCGCAGTATTTGAAGCTACCCGGCAGTTTTATTTCGGATATTTCCTCCTAGCTTTTGAATATTTCGCAGTAGTTCTTCATTTTTTACCTGAATATTTCCCAGTAGCTCTTCATTTTTTCGGCTCATTTCAGATAGAATCTTATATTTGACAGTCTATGGAAATCGGGTTATTCTATTAACATAATTTCTTCAAATCTTCCCTGATTCACCTCCTGATGTTGTCCACTGCACTCTGCTTGGTCGAAATTCAATTGGGAAAAATAATCCGAAAAATACCCCTCGAGATTAAAAATTAATCCGGTATTTCCCTCAAGCTCCCCTGCAAACAAACCATCGTGCCAAGTTTTGCAGAAAAATCCCTCGGGCAAGCGCTCGGAATTTTTTAAACTGCAAAACTTGACACCCTCATTTACTTGCAACGAAGCTATCGGGAAATACTCGATAATGTTGAAGCTCTTGGGGTATTACTACTGATTATTTTTCCCAATCGGATTTCGACCAATCAGAGCGCAGTATTTGAAGCTACCCGGCACTTTTATTTCGGATATTTCCTCCTAGCTTTTGAATATTTCGCAGTAGTTCTTCATTTTTTACCTGAATATTTCCCAGTAGCTCTTCATTTTTTCGGCTCATTTCAGATAGAATCTTATATTTGACAGTCTATGGAAATCGGGTTATTCTATTAACATAATTTCTTCAAATCTTCCCTGATTCAGCTCCTGATGTTGTCCACTGCACTCTGCTTGGTCAAAATTCAATTGGGAAAAATAATCCGAAAAATACCCCTCGAGATTAAAAATTAATCCGGTATTTCCCTCAAGCTCCCCTGCAAACAAACCATCGTGCCAAGTTTTGCAGAAAAATCCCTCGGGCAAGCGCTCGGAATTTTTTAAACTGCAAAACTTGACACCCTCATTTACTTGCAACGAAGCTATCGGGAAATACTCGATAATGTTGAAGCTCTTGGGGTATTACTACTGATTATTTTTCCCAATCGGATTTCGACCAATCAGAGCGCAGTATTTGAAGCTACCCGGCAGTTCTATTTCGGATATTTCCTCCTAGCTTTTGAATATTTCGCAGTAGTTCTTCATTTTTTTACCTGAATATTTCGCAGTAGCTCTCCATTTTTTCGGCTCATTTCAGATAGAATCTTATATTTGACAGTCTATGGAAATCGGGTTATTCTATTAACATAATTTCTTCAAATCTTCCCTGATTCAGCTCTTGATGTTGTCCACTGCACTCTGCTTGGTCAAAATTCAATTGGGAAAAATAATCCGAAAAATACCCCTCGAGATTAAAAATTAATCCGGTATTTCCCTCAAGCTCCCCTGCAAACAAACCATCGTGCCAAGTTTTGCAGAAAAATCCCTCGGGCAAGCGCCCGGGATTTTTAATAGCTGCTGATTGTCTGTTCAATTTTTCAGGTTTCTGTCACGATCATGAGACGCACTAGGCACCACGTGCTGCCGGTCAAATCCTGGCAGTACATAGGTCTGATGATAGTGTCATTAGCTTGTTTGATACTTGGACATGTGTCTCGAGATCGAGAAGGGAGAGCTGGAAGTCTTGCAGGACCAGAGCTGAAGCATACTGCTCCGCATGAGTGAGTAGAATCGATATCACTAATATCTCGAAATCCTGTTGGCTCCTTTGTCTATTCTCGGGGGATCGAGGCGCGCGAGAGCGCGCCATCAGACCAGTCAAATTAAATAATCAAGCCAAAAAATTTGTTGTGACGACCCGATGTTCTGTTCATTCAAACGACGCATACACGTCATGAAGTCATTTCTCGAAAATTGTGTCACACGTAAATCCTCCTGTGATTGCAGAGTCGATGCCTGCCCTAATGACAACCCCTTCACTCACCGATTGCCTTCTGCCGTCGACCTGGCACCTACCACAGGATTCGACCCCCTCACTATGACTAGAGTCTCTAGATCGCTCGAGCATCTAGCGATTTCTCGAAATCCAGAGCGATCCCAGCGTGAATCGCGAAGGGTACTCGAGAGATCGGCAAAAGATGCTCGAGACATTAGAGATTCGCGCAACCGCATCGCTGTACATCGAACCGACACCCGAGACGTTCGATCACAGGAGAACCAAAGACTGACAAGATCACAAGATACCAGATCCGAGCGACGACAAGTTGCCAACCGCTTCGACGATCGTCGATCGGTATCCCTGGATCGTCGCACTTCAAGGAGCAACCGAATTAGAGAAAGCCCGAGCGAACGTCGAACCGATCCATCGAGGCTTCTGCAGCGCAGGTCTTCGGAAAGGAGATCGTCTGACCGCCAAAATGAGGAGAGACGTGTGGACATGCGCGTTGACCGCATGGCTCGATCCAGATCAGCCGACGCCGATCGGCGAGTTCGTTCCCCAGACAGGAGAGTTCAATCCCTCGAGCGGACGCGGACGGAACGTCGCACAAGCCCAGAAGTAGAAGCCCGAGAGCGTCGGGTGATCACCAGCCGACGGAGTTCAGAGCGCCGCGACGTGAGGTCTGACAACCGATTGGAACGCGCAGATGTCGCGAGATCCAGCACCCGCGGATCGCTTGAAAGGAGAGAGCTGTCTTCTGAGAGGCGTCAAGAGACTGGACGAAGGATCAACGTCAGGTCCCAGGAGCGATCCCGCGCGGACTCGCGAGTTCAGCGAGAGCGATCTGCGGAAAATCGAATTCAAGATTCTGAAGACCTTAGCCGATCGCGAAGAGATGTCGTACGATCTGATGAACGTCGTTCTGCGCGCAGTCGAGTCCGCCAAGAGCGATCCGTGGGACCGCGGATCGAGGCTCGAAGGTCTGCTATCAGATCTGACAACCGAAGATCTGTGGAACGCGTCGATAGCCGAGATTCAGAGCGCAGAGCGCGTCTTGCCGGCTCAAGAATTGACGCTCAACATTTCCGCATTCGGTCGGAAGACCGCAGATCGGCAGAACGTCTTCAAAACCGTCGCGAACAGCTGAGGAGGATTGACGCTTCAAGGACCGCGCGATCTGATGAACGGAAATCTGCCGATCGTGTTCTGAGTCGCAATCTGGACCGCCAGGAGCGTCTCGCGAGGGAAAGGCTGGATGTCCGGAGGTCTAGTGTGCGATCGGAGGATCCGCGATCTTCAGAGCGTCTCTCAAGTCGTAATTTAGAGCGTCAGGAACGTCTCACAGGGGAGCGAATTGCCGCTCAACGATTGACTGAGCGATCTGATGACCGCCGATCGACGGAGCGTCGTCTGAGCCGGACTTTAGAGCGCCAGGAACGTGTCATGAGCGAAAGGAGCGATGAACGACGATCTTCAGACCGCGTTCAGAGCCGTAGCTCCGTCCGCGAAAGAACCAATATCCGATCAGAAGACCGAAGATCCTCCGAACGCCGTCACGTCCAATCTCTAGAGCGTCAACAACGTCAGTCAGACCGAGTGCAGCCGTCAACCCGCCGAACGCGTTCCCATGAAGGAAGACAATCCGAATCCTCAGACACGCGGAGGGAGACGTCTTGGGTGAACTCTCTACGCCAGACCGCCCAAATCCCGCGTAACTCGCGGCTTTCTGATACTCAACGTCGTCAAGTCGAACGTGAGACGAGAGACGAGCGCAGAATATCACGACAGGATAGCAGGGAAAATGACAAAGAGAGACGGATTGCAAGAGCTGCTGAACTTAGAAATGCTGATCACAGCAGACGCAACCAAATCTACCTCACGACAGTACCTACTGTAATGGACAGCAAGGATCCAGCAGACAGTACTAATTACGAAGTTTTGCGACAGATTTTTGTGCTGGCACTCTGCACGGTTTATACCGCATCGCTTTTTAAGCAGAAAAATGGATATATCAAGTAAGGAATGGATGTATCAATTATTTTGGTAATCTTTAGGATTCAGATGACAATAGGTGTTTACTTTGTTGCAGAAATACTCTGACTCACGCAGCTCGTCTTCTCGCATGGTAAAACTATCAACTATTATCTACTGGAAACTTAAGAATGGCAGTCCTAATTAATGAATCTTTAATTGCATTCTGCAAGCAACTAATTAATCCCTCTTGTGAAGTTTTGACATAGAGCTTTGTAGAAGTTGTCTGCACCTTGCACAGCTAGAAGTAGAGTAGAACAGACATTTTTAGAGTAGTGTAGAGCGGAATATCTATTGACCTGTTACTCAATGTGCGCTGACTCATTATCTACCTTATTCCTCTGATGTTGTTGAAAATATTCATGTAATAAAGAGTATTTTTCGTGGCAACGTGTGGTTTTATTTGGTTGACTATTAAGAAGTCTTGAGGGTGAAAAAAAATACTGAAATGTGGAGATGAGAGATTTTTTTTGAATAATTATGAATTATTTTTTTGAAATTCAGCTAATTTCGTTATTTTTTAAATGAAAAATTACACCATTCATGTAAAATAGCCGGGAAAATGTTTCTGAAAGAATCGAGAATACATTTTGAATATTTTGAAGATAATTTTTCTGCCTATTTTCATGTGAATGAATGGCGCAAATTTATATTTTAAACACGACGAAATTAGCGGTGCAGGAGTCGAATTAAAAAAAAACTAATTCGTAATTATTATTGCACGGATGTTTTCAGAATTTTTGAAAAAAACTGAAACCTTTGTAGGTTTCAACAACAATGAGAACCTGAGAAATTACAACGCTCTCTAAAATCGAAAAAAATTATTGGTTCATGAAATCTGGACGAAAAAGATTGATTTATTCAAGATGAGTTTGTACATTATCTTGTAGTTTAAAGCTAAAAAGTGTCATGTAAAAAATGAGTATATTTCTCGTGCAATACTGAATATCTCAATGGAATTATTTCAAGATGATCTTTTCTTCTTTCCTTTTATGTCAATAAATTAGTGATGAGTGATATATACGATTTACGTATTCATGTTTTAATCATTATATTATACTCTATACAAAAAAAAATTCGTTGATTGTGATGTCTCCTACGACAAAAATCTGTTGATGTTACCTAACTACACGAATACAAGTTCCAATAATCGAAATGAGTTCAGTTTAATCTATTTACAGCGAACCATCTCAGCGAAAAAATATGTCTAGTACATTTCTTAAGATTTTGTTCTGTAATTCATGGAAGATTTGTTCATTACTTTTCCTCTGGCAAGATCTCAGCGACATTTAGAGAGACAAATTCATTAAAATAAATGCCAAAGTTTTTGGTCAAACTCCAGCGGTTAATATTATCTTTGGCAGTGACCCCAATCGATCATCTAATATGCATTATTCAAAATTACTTGCAATTTGTTTTTGGAAAACTACTCAGGAGTATCGATTGGACATCAGTAGCATTATTTTTTGGCTATTTGTAAAAATCAATCTCATTGGGAATGTTCAATATTTCGCAGGGCCACCGGAGCAGGAGTATTTGGGGTAACATTCGAATTTTTTGAGAGTGTCCAATATCACGAGTGTCAAACATCAAAATCGAAAAGTTTAAAGTCAAAATTTGAGATCAACGATGCATTTAACCCATTCCTATTGATGTTTCCTGATTACCGACTTCACAATCGCTTCATGGAATTCAACAATTAGATTTACCTCACCTGACTCTTGACAATGAAATCTCGAAATATTATTATTCTCATTTAACTTATGAAATTAAACTCTCAACATCGAATTTTCCTCCCAATTTCCATATCACCACTGATATTCCGCCAGCCCTGCCATTCAGACAAGATCAAAAGGCAGAAAGATTCTTTCGCAGGCTTAAAAACCCTCGGAATGAAAAATCCACTGTAAAATATCGTTTAAAAAAAGACTGCACATACATAGCCGATATTCAAACGCGTCAAGAACACCATATCACAAAAATGAAAAAGGTACTCATCTAAACATTGGCAATTTCCTGCAGCATTCCCAAAATATGATCCAACTCTTGTCGAAAATAACAAAGCTGCTTACTCTTTCCCTTCTCCCCTTTACAATCACGACACAGCGTCCTATTCCTCAGCAAATCTCTCACCAAATTCTGGAGAGTCATCTCCCGGCTCTCATGCCTCTGCTGAAGAATTGTAATTTTGTCCTGCAGTAACTGCAACTGCTCAGTCCCCGGTGTCGACAGGTACTTCACCTTCTCATTTAAAATTTTCACTTTACTCTCGAGATGCTCCCGCTCAACCTTAAGAACAATCACTTGCTCCTTGTAATCCTGGAGTTTGTCAATCTGCTCCTTCAAGTGCGAAATTATCGCGATCTGAGTGTTGATTTGACCCTGAAGTTTAACGACTTTTGAATCGCCAAATTTGACGCTGTACTCCTTAACAAGCGATGCTACCTCTCGCTCGTGCTCCTCCTGGAGTAAATTCAAATCGTGCAGTCTTTTGTTCTTCAGCGTCATATAATCCTTATTCATTTTGCTCAACTCCTCCTTCAATATTTCGTTCTCACCCGTCAATCGTTTGACAACCGAGCTTTCGCCATTCTCCGAAAACTGAAGTGGATCATAAAGCTTTTGAGAGGATCCCGAGAACTTCTGTCCATTCGACAAATGGCCGTTTAGGCAGACGTTTGAATTTTGATCACTTGTCTCCGGCCTCGTGCCCCTGAGCTTCTCCGTGTCCCCCGGGCGAAAGCTTCGACGATCATTCAACAGTCTCTCTCGCTCCTTCTGCAGACGGCGATTGGTCTTCTGAAGCTCTTGCACATCTTTCGTGAATTTTTGCACACTCTTGTCTTTGTTCGCAAGCTCGAGCTTCAGACCTCTTATTGTGGCGATCAAGTGTGCGTCCTCTTTAGGATTCTGAGACTTCAAGTTCGGCTTTCCGTTCCTCATCTCCTTGTCCGAAAATTTTTGAAGCCTCTCGTCATCTCGTTTCGCTTCGACACTCTTGTTCTCCGTGATTTTTGCCATTGTCTGCGTGCAAGTGTTGACGTGACTCTTCTGGGGCTTCGATGCAGCCTCTCGGAGCTTCTCCTCCAACTCAGACACTTGCGACGAGTACTTATCCTTCATTTCCGCGAACTTCTGCTGTAAATCTGACAGCTTCTCTTGACCAATTTCTTCCTTGGCGCGCAGTTCGCCCTCTAGCGACGCAATCCTGTCCTCCAAGAGCTTAATTTTTTCCAAATTTATGCGCTCGTGATCGGACTTTGCAGTGAGAATCAAAGCAGACACAGAATCCGGATTCTTGCGCTTCAGAATTCGCTCCATCTCCCGAACTTGGCGATTCAAATCGAGGATCTTCTTGTTGTCTAGAATCACTTGGTCCTTGAGCTTTTGAGTCAGGACTTTCTCACGTTCCACGTGACTTCTCGACAGTTGGAGCTTCTCCTGCAAGCTTTGCTCTTTAACTCGGAGCTCCAAAAGCTCCTTCTCTAGGGGTGTTATCGCCCGCTGGAACTCTTCAAATTCAGCATTCGTTAGTCTTAGCTTCTCAGTCTTCGATGAAAGCTCAACCCTCATCTCCTCCATTTTCCTTCGAGTCTCCATCTCCTCGGTTCTCATTGATTGAAGTCTATCAGTTATGAACTTATCCTTGGACTTCAATTGCTCCTTGAACAGGGTAAGCTCGTCCTGAAGGAGACTGTTCTGCTGTACCACATCGTCATGCTTGAGAACCAAATCCGAGTTCTTCTGACGAAGATCCGAAGCTTCCAAATTGAGCTTTAGAATCTCCTCCCGAAGGTCCTTGATGGTGTCATTGAGCTTCTCAACTTCACCCGAAGTCACTGGAGTGTCCTTAAACCTCTGCCTCTGCTCAAGATTCTTGATCTCCTCTTGTTGACGCTTCGTCTCCACCATTAGCCTCTTGTTCTCAGTCTCATAAGTTCTTATCAAGCTTTCCTGTCGCTCCAGTTCCTTCTCCAACAAGTTAACCCTCGTCTCCGTTCTCGAGCCCGGAATTTCCGTTCGCCTCTCGGTCGCTTCTTTCAAGGTCAGCTCATCAACTTTAGCTGTCAGAATGATGTTCTGCTTTTTCAGGATGAAAAGCTCTTCCTCGAAGGACTCTCGCATACCGTGAATCTGTTGTTTGTACAATTTCGCCTCGGCTTCGATCTGATCGCGCATGAGAGCTGTTTTGTGTTTCTCCTCGAGGTAAAGCGCCTCGTAATCGCTCTTTGAGAAGTTTCGACGATTGTCACCGCCAGCCAGCGTGCGCTTTATCATCGTCTCGGGGGTTCTACCGCGGGTTGTCAGGGGCTGCTTCTGAACGGTGGGTTTCAACGATAGTTTGACCTTGGAGGAGGACGTCTGGAGGGGCCTCGAAGGGATTTTCGGATTTTTAGTGACAGTTCTAGAGCCGAGGGGGGGTTTTTTGAGGTTCTCGGGGGGTTTGGGGTTCCTCACGTCGTCCAGGGAGGATCGGAAGGACGTCATCGGGTGTGGGAGTTGGTCGTAACTTCGCGAGGGCCCCAGGGGCCCCCAACGACCTGGAAACTTCCTGTCTGGAGGCTTCGGAGGTTTGGACCCTCTCGACGAGCTACCGACCTCGGCTTTCGAGCTCAAGTTCAGGGAAATCGTCCCGAAAATCTCGCGATCTCTCTCCTCATCGCCAGGAGTTTCGCGGGAATTTCGGGGGGTGATCTGCGGTGAATTCTTCTGGGCAATCTCCACCGATTTTTCCGCCATTAATTTTGGAATCGCGTCGGCAAACAGCTCGAGTCTGGGGGTGAGGCCAACTGTGTACAGTTCAGTCTCGGAATTGGGGACTTTTCGGATTTCTGCTTTGGTCGCTCTGTCTCGACTAGAGTTTCTGGACAATGCACTACCTCTTGTTGATACTGACTCTCGGGACTTGCCGGAGCGCTCGTTGCTGGCGCTGGAGTCGGAATCAACAATTTCGTGGGAATTTTTTGGCCTCTGAACTTTTGTCAGCTCCTTTTTTAAGATCTCTGTGATCTCTTTCTCAGGGAAGATGGAGCTTTTTGGATCGGTTGGGGGGCTCGCGATGGGGTCAATCTGGTGGGAGAAATTTTTCGAGCCCTCGAGGTCAGACTTTCCCTGGAGGATTTTTAGGAAATGGGAGAAGTCCTCCTGACCAAAGCTCGAGCTGCCGGAAAGTCCTCCCTCCATTTTCTCCTTTGACTTTTTCAACAAGTCATCGAAAAAGTCTTTGTCGACGTCGGTTATCTCTTTTTGGAGATTGACTTTGTCTTCCTGGGACTTTTTTAAGGACTTGAGGTCTTCGGAATTGGAGTGACGCTCTATGGGATCGTCGAGATCGGAACTACTCGACACCTCGACTTTTTGATCTTCGAAGTGTTTCTTCTGGAGTTCTAGGGGTGTTGGGGGTTTCAGGGAATTTGGGGCCTCGTAGGTTACGCGAATTTCCGGGCTCGAGGGCCGCTGTCTCTCGCTCCGCGGACTCTTTCGCATCTTTTCACTCTCTTTGTGAACTTGTTGCTGAATGAAATTGAAAATATCGTCTTCGAGTCTTTTGGCACGAGCTTTGGAGGCTTTTGAATTTTCGGGAGACGGCATCAGGGTTTCGGAGCGAGAGGAACTTTTTGATAGGCTTACGTTTTCACGGACTAATTTTTCAGCTTCTTGCAGGAGCTCTTCCACTGACTTCTCCTCTTCGGTGTGGTTTTTCGAAGAGGTCAGGGACTTCGTGCGCTCCGGAGCAGAATTTGGGGACAACGCACCCGCTATTTTACTCATCTCTTCGAGGAAACTGCCGATGTCTTCGTCAGTTGCGTCTGGAAAATGTGACAGGATATTCATTTTTCACTTCGGTGAAAAGGAAGAATTTTGGAAATTGAGAATTTTATTGGTAAAATGAGTCAATTTTATTTTGTTAAATATAAAAATTTGCGCCATTCGTGTAAAATGGGCGCAAAAATTATTCTTAAAATGGTTAAAATGTATTCTCGATTCTGTCAGAAACAAATCCCAACTTTTGAGGACAATTTTTTTTTAAACATACGACCTTTTTCCAAAATATTTCTCCAATAGTGGAAAAATGAAAAAAAAATTTCGATTATTCCTACGAAATTCCGATATTTTTTCTACAAACTAGAATTTTGGTTTCTCAGTGTATGAAATTGCCTCCTAAGTCGATTCAACCACTCCAACTAATTCAATGAAAACATGATGAAAAAAAACTGTGCGATACGTACTCTCGAAATCTTCAGGATATTTATCGAATGCAGTAGACGCCAAAATATCACAGAGAGTATCATCTTTGTCCCTCCCGTCTGCCTCCTCCTTATGCATCACCTGCAACCAAAAACAAATCAATACTCTTTCTATTTCCATCCTTAAATTCGAAACAAAATCGAGGCATTACCCTGCAATATTTTTCTTTCTCCAGGAACTCTCGCATGGACGAAGTGCCTTCTGGCGAGTGAATCGACTTGGCCTCTGATTTTCTGGACGACGAGGACCCAAGTCGAGTTTCTGGACGTTTCAACCACCATTTTTTTCCCCCATCCTCTGATCGACCGGATACTGGATTAATATCCTCAGGAGGTTTTGGAATTTCCTTCAGACGAACTGAGCATTCGCCCAGACTACGACTGATGGATGACGGCATAGACTCTTCCTCGCTGATTGTCCCCTAAAATTAAATTCAACTGTCGATCACACGAACGAAATTGTGATAAAAAACACATGTTCTCAAAGAAATCTTATTTGAACCGAATAAATCGCAAATTTCAAATTATCAAGAATGAAAAACTTCGTGCTGAACATTTGAAAATTATCGAAGAGGATTTTTGGTGCCAAACATGTAGAGAGTGCGCCGGAATGAAAAATGTTTGTCGCAAAAATAGATTTAGGGGAGACTGGGGTAAAATGGACACTTTAGACTTTTGTTTTAATTACTCATAACTCAGAAACAAATTTATCAATTCAGCTCAGTTTAGGCTCATCACAAAGGGAAAGAATTGCTCTTTGCAGTGGATAAAAAATTATTAAATTTTATCAAAATTTCAGCCCGTCATTAACATTTTAAAAAAAGTCAAAAGTGTCCATTTTACCCCAACCTCCCCTAGTAGTTCACAAAAAATTTTATTCTCTGTACACGCAAGAAATGTCATTTCTAGCACTACTCCTTCGTTATTCGATACTCCCAAACGTATTTTGCTCCCGAAAAATCTTTGTTTTATGCGAAACAAGGGATAGTAGTTTTTCATTTCGGCTGTCTAATAATCACAGACAACAAATGAACCCTTAAATGAAACAATAAAAATGATATGATAGCAATCTTGTAACTTGGGGATAAAATATTAGTTGATAAATTTTCCTCTATAGAGATGTTTTCATCCTGAATCCGCCTCTTGAGCCTCTTGAGCCAAATATTTCGTTGCTGTCAAAAGCAGAACAATTATTCATGTTTGAGACTTTCAAATTCGAACCAAACAAATTCTTTTTTAGCAATTTTCAACTAGCGATTTTGTTGGCCCAAACAAAACTTGTTTGACGTGTTTGTTTTTCTCTCTCAGTGTCAAGTTGAGATTTTTTACAACACCTTCAGCATTTCTACTACTCAATTTTCCATCTTTAATAATGAAGTAAAAATAGACAATGAGTTATGTAAAAATGTTCCCTCCGAACCCCCTGGATCGGCTTTTATCACTTTAAAAACATTTCTGAAGGTCAATTCTTTTTTAGGAAAAACCACTAGCAACACATTATCGACAATTGAAATTTCGACAGCTCTCGGAACGATTGATTTCACAGTTCATTGAGGTTATATAGAAATCTTAATTTCTGAGTACTCACATCTTCGGCCAGTGCCGTATCCTCATTATCTTCCGTCATTTTAGCACTTCGGCTCAATTATTTGTGCAAAAAATTGGGAGTGAATGACCGCAGGATCATTATTACGGCGTCGTTTGACATCACTTTATTTGTTTGTTTTTTTCTGCGAAGAACCACTGGGTCGGGCGCGCGGGGGGGAGGTCGTGGAGACATTCCTTTTTGGACACGTTCTAGGGAACTAAATTATTTGTGGACACATTCCCGGATAGGGAGATTCTCATCAGGTGGTTAAAAAGGACTCGGTATTGGAGATATCTTCAGGAAATGTCTTACCAGTCGACATTTTTAGTGCAGCGGGACGGTGAGAGATGGCGGGATTATTCTCATTTCAAGCGGAATTACTATAACTGAATCGAAGTGGCCGTCGGGCAGGAGCAGGGGAGAGTGGGGTAAAACGGCCCCTTTTGATTTTTTGAAAAATATTAACAGCTCATTCAGTTTTAAATAAAATGGAATATTTTTTTTCCATGGAAACTTCACTTCTTCCTGTTTAAAATGAGCCTAGACTGATCTCAATTAATGAATTTGTTCCTGAGTTATGAGTATAACAGAAAAAGTCAAAGGGGCCGTTTTACCCCACTCTCCCTTAATATAACAAGTTGAATCAGCCAGTGGAGAAGTAAATGAGCTACTAGAAACGAGAAAAGGTTTTATACGGTGCATTTAGAAATGACGGCGATCTTTTGAAAGGTAATCATCAATTTGGTAATCAAAAATTTGCTCTGCGTCATATTTTTAATTTTTTCATGTGTGAAGTTTATATCAAAATATATCTAAATGGCCTGATTGTTGATCATGAGAAAAAAAATAGTATTTCTAAATTTTTTTAACTCACAAGTTATTCTTCACTTCTCAAATGTCAATTTTTTCATATTTCTCACACGCAAAAATGATCAATTCTTGCTTCTCAGATTTTCATAGGGGAGGGTAGGGTAAAACGGACACTTTGGACTTTTTTTAAAATATTCATGACGTGTTGAATTATTTATGAAATGGAATAATTTTATTTTTCAATTGAAAAACAATGATTCCTCTTTGTGAGGAGCTGAGAGTGAGCTCAATTGATAAATCTGTTTCTGAGTTATGGATATTTTTTAAAAAGTCAAAAGTGTCCATTTTACCCTACCCTCCCCTACATAAATTCCAAACTCTACAAAATTCATGAAAATTCTCCAGTTTCCGAAATAATTCGAGAAAAACCTTGAAGATCTCCGGTTATCTGGAAACCTGTGAAATTTTCCGAAGACGTCGAGAAATTTTTTCAGTTTCCTACGAAATGAACTAATCACCCTCCCCCATTCTTCAACAGTTACAGCTTTAATCAGATGATTTTAAAAAGTAAAAAACAGAATTAATCGAAGATTAAAAATTATTCATTGATGTTTCACTCTTCATTCTCTCAATCCTCTTCAAGTCATTATCAATATCTACAAAACACCAAGAATATATAAACTTTAACAAATTCGATTCCTTAATTTCCACAACGAATAGATGAGCGCGCGCACAGATCTCGTAATTTATTAGAAACCCTTCATCCTCCTCCGCAAAAAACCAAAATCTCCAAAAACCTTGAAACATCGTAATTGAAAAAAAATTCTCTAAGTCCAACCCCGCGACCCCCTCCTCCCCCTCCATTCCCCGGTCTCTGTAATACATGTCCTCTCTCCGTCGCGCACTACCAGGCAACCCCACTGTCGTACAACGCCATGCGCGCGGGCGTGCGCAGCAGTGGCGCTCGACTCCCCTGACCAGCCCGCAGTCTCGTTGAGTTTCGCTCCGTGAAACCTAACCGCAACATGTCCGACTCCGACATACCTCCCTCATCATCTCCACCCCCTTCCCCTGAATCCCCAAAGCCATCACCTCCCGCGAAAAAGCGTCGAAAAAATTCAGTGGAGGTTCACGTGCACGACAAACTGAAAGCCCTGCAAAAGATGAAGCAGGGCTGCCCTCGCCACATAATCGCGAAGGAGTTCGGTGTCCATTTGTCGACAGTCAACGGTTGGATAAAGAACGAGAAGGCCCTGGAGAAATGGGCGTCTGAGCACAACGGAGTGATGCCAACGGCGGTTAAAAGACTAAAAAAGCCAGTGCACGAGTTGATAGACAGAGCCATGTGGCTGTGGCACAGAGAGCGAAGTGCAGCAGGATGCACCTTCACAGGATCTAGCGCCCAGATTCAGGCGCTTCTCTTCCGCAATCAGCTGGGAATTGCGCAGAAGTTCGCAGCGAGTCAGGGATGGCTGTCAAAATGGCAGAGGCGTTACGGCGTGAAGTTTACGACGCAGAACGCCACAACTAGCGCCACATCGAGCGCCGATCGCCCATTGGCGGACGAGACGATTGCGGACAAGTATAGAGCCAAGTTCGCTGGGATGATCGAGGCGGAGGGACTGATGCCGGGTCAGGTGTTCTTCTGCGATATGATTGGCTTGAACTATCGGCAACTGCCGGAGCTCGTGATGAATGTGAAATGGGCCCCTGAGGGCCATCCGCAGAAGCAGCTGAAGGAGAGGATCACCCTGATGGCCTGCAGCAATGCCTCGGGCACCTGCAAGTTTCCTCTGGTGATTGTGGGCAAGTTCCCCAAGCCGAGGGCTATTAAGGACATCATGAAACTTCCTGTTTGCTACAGGAATCAGATGAGCTCCTACGTCACTGGGGGAATCTTCAGAGATTGGTTCAACCAGGAGTTTTGCCCCACTGTTAAGGAGTTCTTGGTCTCCAGGGGCATCCCTCCCAAGGCTGTTTTGTTCATGGATAATTGGCTCTCGTTGCCTCAGGAGATGAAGAGCCAGGAGGTCAGGGTGGAGTTCCTACCTCCTGATACTACGGCCATGCTGCAAACTTTTGATCAGGGCTGGATGAGGAATCTTAAGGTGTCCTATCGACAGCAGCTTATGAAGTTTATTATGGGGAGTGTTAATGCTGGGGGTTCTTTGGATGAGGCTATGAAGAATCTTACCATCAAGGAGGTCATCTTCTGGGCTTCTAACAGCTGGAGTCAACTGTCCAATGAGACGATTCTCAAGTCTTGGAAACCGGTGAGTCGGTTGGGTGCAGGAATTCCATTTTGGGGGGCGGTGGGGGTTGGATTATGATCCAGAGCTTCAGTTTTGGGGATTTTTGGTGGAGAGTCTTGGTGAGATTGGTAGCGTTTTCTCGTTTTTTGTCAGGTAGCTTTAGTTCTCTGGGGACTGCAGTGGTAGAAAAACTTCTAATTTTAATCGATGACTGATTTAGGGGAGGTTGGGGTAAAACGGACACTTTTGACTTTATTTTTAATGATAATGAGGGGTTGAAATGTTGATCAAATTTGGTAATTTTTTTTTAATACATAGAACAACTCTTTCTCTTTGTGATGAGCCTACACTGAGCTCAATTGATAATTTTTTTTCTGAGTTATGAATAATTTTTAAAAAGTCTAGTGTCCGTTTTACCCCATCCTCCCCTACATCGAATTCCCGTGAATTTTCTTACTGGAAAATTCGTTAATTCCTGGAATATTCACGGAAATTATCATTTTCAGGTTTTTATCATAATGAAAATTATTGAAAATTGTGAGAATTCAGGGAACTGTTGCTTTGATTTTTCAATGTATTGAATATTCTATTGAATGTGATGTTTAATCATCGCCATGGGTTGGAGAATTCAACAGAAAATTGAATTTTGTTGAATTCATGGTCAATTGAATTTAAAGTCACAACAAGTCATGAATTGCGTGAGAAGAATTTGGAAAATTAAACGGATAATCCAGCTTCTTTGAATTTATATTTTGAAAACAACTATATTTTTTTAATAGATTTCTTATGGAGAAATCATGAAAATTGCAACATTTTTTAAATTCTGAGTGATTTGTTTTCCAAAAAAAAAGCTAGTGTCTTTAAAAAATTTTACCAAGCAATCAATTTTATATTAATAAAATCAATCGAAAGAAAAATTACCAAAATTCTCCGGTTCTGAAAAAGCAGAAAATTTCAAATCCATTCAACATAGCGAATCTGCAGCTTGTCATTTAACAACCACTAAAATTCCAAGAAATTTGTAACATCAAAAGTCCGTAGAATATTTGATTATTTGAGAGAATTGCTATTTTTTATTACGAACTTCTTTCAAAAGAAAATTACCTACAAAACGAAATAAGCCTAATTCCAAAGAAAATATTCTCCCCCAAAATTTGTCATATAACTTTCGAAATAAGTAATTCATATTTATTTAATTTCAGCTCTGGCCCCAAATTTCAGGCGCTAATCCTCCCCAACATCACGTAGACCTCGACGAGAATGCACAGGAAGTCCAAGTGAAAGTAGAAGAATGTGAGACAGCGGACAGCTCCACTGGGCTGTTCCACCAGAATGAAATAGCCCTGATGCGTGAATTCTGCGAGACACTGAACAGAACGAACGCGTACCGAAGCATCAGCGTCGTCGACATTGAGAATTGGCTGCACCCAGCAACGAAGCTCACCGAGGACGAGTGCCTGGACGAGAACGAGATCGTGCAAATTATCATGGAGGAGAACGAGGCGAATCAGCAGATTGAGACTGCAGCAGTCGATCCCCTCGGGGAGACAAAAACGACCCTCGCAGAGGCGCAAGCCAGTCTGAAGAAAGTCATTGAATACTGCTCGTCAAATTCACATTACTCGAGGGAGCAGCGATTGTCACTGATCGCCATTCGTGACATCATGAAGACTGAGAAAAACATCCTAGCTCCTGTGGCTTCTGCCCCAGTACCTGAACCTCTGCCATTTGATTTTGTTGCTATCGCCGATGACGAGGACTGTGAATTCACAATGTATGAGAGGTAATCAAGCGATATTTATCAACGATGAAGAATGGCTTTGGTTCCTATAATTTTTGAGGGGCGAAAATCGAGAAATTAGAGACGAAGCGAAAATAATTGAGGATTTTTAGGAAAAAAATGAGATGGGGAGGTGGAACCTGCCTCATTCCACTGTAAATAGTATTATTCAATAGTTTGTAAGATCATGGACAAGTTTTATTCATTAAATCGACGATTTTGTACAGTTTGATTAAAAATGCTAGTGTTTTTTTTTTGAAAAGCCAAAATAGACTGAGGCACAAGCCAGCGCACTGGCAGTGCTATGACTGCTGTCAGTGCATGAACCTCCACCGTTTTTTTTTTCGATTTTGCTATTGGCGAGGATGAGGGCTGTGAATTCAACGTGTATAAATGTAACCCTTGAATAATGGTTTCTGTTCTCATAATCGTTGAGGAGAGAGAATTGAGAAATTAAAAATGAAGAGAAAGAAATGTAAGAGCATTATGAAAATGTTGAGATGTGAAGGTGGAAAGTGTCTCATTCTACAATAAAATAGTATTATCAAATAGCTTGTAAGATCATAGACAAGTTTCAATCATTAAATGAAATGATTTTCTACTGTTTGATTGAATTGAGGTGTTTTATTTATAATCCGGTCTAATTTCCCAATTACAATGTCAATAATGCGACGAAAATCGCCTGATGACGTAATGGCGTTTGACGAATAGGAAATGTCCGTAAAATACTATTTTACGGATAACGCGCTGAAAAAAGAATTAGAGACGTTAGAATTTTTTAACATCTGTCATCAAACTTCATTCATTTTTGATGATTGAGCCATTACGTAATGCACTCCAAAAGCATTCCAAAACTAAAGCTCTTTTTCGTGAGTCTTTGGGATAGTTTGACGCACAAGAAAAAAAATCCATCTGCGATGAACCGATAGAATGTTTTTTTATTTTTCCATAATTTTATTACATAAGGAAACAAATCATAACGAAGAAAGGTGATTATTCCAATTCCATAAATTAATGAGGAATCAACAGTAAATCGTGTGCATTAAATGAAAATAAAAGTGAAAAAAAAAACAAAATAAAAAGTAAAAAAATTGCAGCTCTGATGTTCAATCAATCTAGCTAATTAACAAATCCTTAACTCCAATAATCAAAATACCTTGAAACGTCTCTGGATGTCATTTCAAACTCTGTATAATACGGTAATAGAGAAATTATAGTGTAATAATGGGTCTTGCAGAGAAAGAATGAACGTAATCAGTGAAATGGCAGGAAAAGAAATTTTTTAACAAAATTATCTCTGGATATATTCATCTCTTTCAATAATAAAATTAAGAAATTAATTACTTCCCCCACGATTTAATACCATAGGTAAATGAATAGAGATAATACTGAAGAGTTGGCAGATTCATCAGTTGAGTACTGCATTTTTCCTTGATCTATTCAATTATTTCTTATTCTACTCTTTCTACTTGTTCAACGCAAAGCCCAGGTCGCGTGGAACCATGAACTTGTTGACGATTTCGTCAGTAGCTTCACTTCTTCTCTTCTGGTGCTCACCCACGAGTGCTTGGAGGACGTCGATCAGTTCCTTTTTGAGTTCTCCAGTCAGCATTTCTCCACTCGTGTATTTCTAAAATACAAATCACTTTTTACAAACTTAATTCGCCTTACAAACGCAAGGAAATTCCATTTTTCCACTAGACAGTTGATCCATTCATTTGAAAATATCTCGTTAACTTCAAGTAAAAAATATTGAAGAGAAAATCGTTTGCCAGCAATTCCCACAAAAAAATTTCAATTAAAAAAATTAATTTCTTTCCTCTCACCCTCCTAAAATAATGAAAGCTCAATAATTATTAAGCTCAATAAAATCAATGATAAAAGTAATTGATATGAGTTATGATTTCATAATTATCAATTTTAATTATGCAAATGTCGCGATAAAATCAGGAAAAAACATCGAAAAAAAAATATTTCAAAACCAAAAAATTGCGTTCTCTTTACCTTCCTCAATTCCTCCAGCTTCTGGTCATCCTCAAGGAAGAACTTGAGCCACTGATAGGACGTATCAACCTCGCAATCACCCCCCTCCTTCCTGTGCTCCTCGACAGTGGCCCTTCCCCCAGAGAAAGCGTACTTATTGACTTTGTCCTTGATCTGCTCAGCAGAATCAGTCAGGAAAATAGCTGAGGTGCTGTCACTGGCGGACATTTTGGTCCTGGAGCCCTGCAGAGCTGGGAAGAAGATGGAGTGGAGGAGAGCGGGCTTGGGGAGTCCGAGCTTTGGAGCAACGTCACGAGTCATCCTGAAGTAAGGGTCCTGGTCGATGCCACAGGGGATGAGGCACTGGACCTTTTCGCCCTTGAAGATGAAGGGGAAAGTGGTGGACAGGGCTGGGGCTGCCTGCGTGGCCGGGAAGGCTATCTTGCCAATTGCGTCACTCTCCACGAACCCAAAAATTCCTCTCACCTAATTATTGCGGAAGAAAGAGAGAATGAATCTGATTAATGAAGAAGCTTGCTCTCTTTTGGCCTTGTGTCACCACACGGACGAAAAAATTTAATAGAAAAGCCTATCAAATTCGTTAGAAAATTCTATTGCATTTCTATTGAACTGTTCTATTAGTTTTTGGCCGATTCTATTGAAATGTTCAATAGAAAATATTCAGTAGAAAAAGTTAATAAAATTCAATTTTTCTATAACTTATTCTATTGAGATTTTTTCTGTAGAATTTCCTCGGCTCAAATTTTCTAAGTTTTTTCGTTTGACTTTCTTGATGAGAAGAAGAGAAAAAACTTACAAAATTGATGCCCAAGCATTTTTATAGAAAAAATCTCACGAGAAAAATCAACCAGAAATTCGAAATCTGTTGAAGAACAAATAGAATTTTTTTATACCTGTCTATCGAAAAAATACCCACAAATTCTCAATTTATCAATGAAATTATGAAATTGAATGTATCATTTTACCTGATTGAATGTCACCTTGCTCTGAATCAAGATGATATTCTGATAAAATTCAGGATTGTTCCCAATATGTTCGAAGTTGGAGAAAATGAAGGTTTTGTCAGGGTTGAAGCCGCAGGCGATGATGTCCTTGGAGTTCTCGTGAGCCAGTTTAATGGCCTCCTTGACCTCGAGGTTCTTCCAGAGGAGTTTCTCATCATCAGTGACTTGGATCACCAGGGGAACGTCGAAGACGTCCTGCAGCCACTTGCAGAACATGAAGGATATCAAGTGGCCCAGGTGCATCGCCTCCGAGCTTGGACCCCTCCCCGTGTACAGGTAGAAGGGCTTTCCCTGCTCGTAGAGGTCGAGGACTGTGTTCATGTCCCTGTGGGAGAAGAAAATCCCTCTCCTGAGGAAACGGTGGGGGGCTCTCCCGGTGATCTTCTCGAATCTCTTGAGGAGGTCTTCTTCGATTCTGGTGCTTCCAAATTTTTCTACGAAGGATTTTAATTCAGTAGCGAAGTGGTAAGCGGTTTAAGTCGACTTATCTCCCCCTTGAGTTTTTGAGGAATATTTCCGAATCTAAGGGAGATAGCGAAATTTTCATAACCATATTTGTTGTAGCTCTCAATCGGCTCTACAAAAACGGTTACAATAATAATTTTGCTATCTCCCTTAGATTCCAAGATATTTATTGAAAACTGGCCAACAGTAAAAATTAACTTATACCAGTTTACCACTTCGCTACTGAATTTAAAGATATCCAAGTATCTTTTACAGTTTGGTGCAGATCACACTATAGATTCAACCATTTTCAATCATCAAACTTGACAATTGAATTGCGTGAGGAAAATTTGAAAAAAATAATTAATATTCAGCGTCATTGAAATTAGTTTACACAGAATTTTTTTTTTAAGATTCGTTGGTTACAAATGATTTATAGCTCATCCTTGTAATTTTTTACAGTTGCAATTTTTCAATTATTTCGTCAATCTTCCTCCTAAAATAAACTTTGTAATTTTTTTTCAGATTTTTAAAATTTTTTCTAACGTTCAATATCGAGATTCAAATTCAGATCTGCAAAGTTTAAATAATAAAAACATTGTAAAATGCCCGGAAACTTGGGGTCAAATGGGGCTCAAATGAAAGCTCTGATGTTCGACTACAAAAGTAGAAAAGCATTTCACTGAAGAAAAAATAGCCGAAGGGGGACAACCCCCACATTTTGGGAATTTTCCCTACAAAGTTCATTTTTGAGTTGATAATTATCGACGGAATGAGCCCAATGGCTGTTGTAAATTTTAAATTATCTCGGTAATATTACGGATCGCGAGAGAAAATGTGAAAACATTTTCGTTGGGAATTTTCTCTTCTACGAAAGGTCCTCCGACATTTTCTCCGAAAGCCGCTCGTATCGAGCGATTTCAAGGGCACATAAACGTAATTTTCAATCGAAAATCCATCTAATTTCCAATTCATTAATGAGACTATTCAATTATCTTGGTAATTATGCAGGAAAAAAAAATCATTATCAATTCATCCTCGAAGTGAAGAAACGTTTTCTCGTCTACGAAAGGTCCTCCGACATTTTCTCCGAAAGCCGCTCGTATCGAGCGATTTCAAGGGCACATAAACGTAATTTTCAATCGAAAATCCATCTAATTTCCAATTCATTAATGAGACTATTCAATTATCTTGGTAATTATGCAGGAAAAAAAAATCATTATCAATTCATCCTCGAAGTGAAGAAACGTTTTCTCGTCTACGAAAGGTCCTCCGACATTTTCTCCGAAAGCCGCTCGTATCGAGCGATTTCAAGGGCACATAAACGTAATTTTCAATCGAAAATCCATCTAATTTCCAATTCATTAATGAGACTATTCAATTATCTTGGTAATTATGCAGGAAAAAAAAATCATTATCAATTCATCCTCGAAGTGAAGAAACGTTTTCTCGTCTACGAAAGGTCCTCCGACATTGTCTCCGAAAGCCGCTCGTATCGAGCGATTTCAAGGGCACATAAACGTAATTTTCAATCGAAAATCCATCTAATTTCCAATTCATTAATGAGACTATCCAATTATCTTGGTAATTATGCAGGAAAAAAAATAATAATCATTATCAATTCATCCTCGAAGTGAAGAAACGTTTGAATTGAGTCGATTCCTCACGTCTTCTTAAAAATTCTCAGTCATTCCAGACGCGATTGATCCTATGAGAAAATGTCTCGGGGAGCGTGGGGTAAAATGGACACCTTTCACTTTTTTAAAAATATTCATAACTCATAAATATGTTCATCAATTGAACTCAGTCTAGGCTCACCACAAGGGGGAAAAATTGCCCTTTTCATTGAAAAAAATGATACAATTTCATTAACGATTCAATAAGCCGTTAGCACTTGAAAAAAAGCAAAAAGTGGCCATTTTACCCCATCGTCCCCTATTGATATTTTTCGCTGCAAATTCTTTCCTCCACCGAAAATCTCAAACATTTTCTCCCAAACTCTTGCGAAACTTGTTCACACTTTTTCCAAACCAAATCCACCAGCAGAATCATACGAGCATCGTCCATTAATTTCACTCATCATTACTCCAATCAGACTTCATGTCCACTTACCAATAAGTTTATCATAATCGACCCCAGTCTCGTGGTCACTCTGCACAGTCCACGGGGTGACGATATCCTCCCCAGTTTCCTTATCAATCCCCAACAAACTTAAATCCTCGATAATTTCCTCCTCAGTTCGCCCCGGAAAAAAGCTCCTGAGGTAATTAATCGTATTCATTCTGCCTCAATCTTCTGAAAATTCTCTCTAATAACGCAAGACGACCGAGAATGACGTCACCGCGACCGACGAAAATTGAAAGGATATGTTCAATGGAAATTCTTTGATCTCCAGATCAGTTCGAAATCGTCTCATCCGCGCATGACGAGTCCTCGGCCAATCCCCGCTCGTCCCCGCCGGAAACAAGAGTCACAATCAACCAATCGCGTTTCTCCATCTCGTATTCTTTTTTTGTCTAGGGAATTCCTAGTGAATTTCGCATAAATATCCATTTTAGAGGCACTTCGGGTATTCCCGGTTTTTTATCTCACTCTGTGGATAAAAAATGACGCGATTCTTTATTCGGTCGAAGTGGGCCCCCTTGTAGACGCACAACGGCGTTCGGCAGTTACGTCAGTTGTGATTATTCTGACGCCGACGCGACCGAAAATTGTTTCGCGATAATTATCGTGATTGTCCAGGAAATGTAAGTGAGTTTTTTATTATTACGTTATTAATACCGTTGTGATTTACGGAGTGAGAAAGGCTGGGGCCTTGAGGTATGAACGTTGAGCGAGACTATTTATGATGATTTTTCTGCACAAAAGACAAATGAGAGAGAGTGGGAATTTTGGGGGGAGGCGATACGGAGATTCAAATGAAAGAGTTGTTGAGGTGTGGGGGAAATTGTGAAAGAATCTCGGGAACGAGTGGGTTTTGAGGAAAATGTCTAAGAACCTTTTTTGTAGAGAAGAAAATTTTAAATAAAAAATGTTTTTTCACATTTTCTACTGGTATCGATAATTACTGTGATAATCGAATAGTTTCATTAGTGATTTGAGAGTTGGTGGAATTTTGGTCAAGAATTACGTTTTCGCCCACTTGAAGTATGTCGAAAACGAACAGGTGTAGGAGAAAATACTATAGGACCTTTTTTGTAGCTGACGAAATTCTCAACAAAAAATGTTTTGTGACATTTTTTCCTAAACCCGCCCCTCGCCCGAATAATTCCCTGACGAACGATTGATGGATTTAATACATTGCTCTCCTCCATCATTACTGACAATTGCAAAATAGATTTTTGCAAAAAAATTATAAATTTATAAGTAGTTGAACTTTTCATTAAAAATTACGTTTTTGTTCAGGAGAAAATTTCACAAGACCTTATTTGTGATGGATAAAATTTCTGTAAAAAAATATGCTGACATTTCTCAAGAATTTGATAATATCAGCATGACGCCATAATTAACAGAACCTTGTCGAATTTCATGATTCCGTCACCGAGGGGAAACAAATAATCGGAAACCATTTCAATTCTTTTCCCGTATCTCTATATAAATTTGCTCCTCAGCTCATCGAGCAGATTATTTATCAGCTATCGCATGGGATCGAGTGGTGATAGGGATCAAACCCAGATATCGAAATATGAAGCAAGAAATTTCGAAAAATATTTCATATATTTTTCACAATAATTTTCACCTCGTGACGTGTCCCTGCGGTTCCCCAGAATCCTTCACCTTTTGTGGTGTTTCGTTGTTTTTTGTTCGGAGTCCCTAGCGGTCTGAGTCGTAAAATGTCAACACACAATGATACGATTAACTAAGGTAGCCTGCTCGAACAATGCGGCTCTTTGTGTTGATAGTCCGCCTCTCCCTCCAAATACTTCTCACCTAAAATCACGTTTATCGTTCACTTTCTTTCTCCCATTTCGTAAACAATTCCACAATCCAACAATTCCCATTTTTCCCTTAAACAATTCCACCTCATCGAACCAACAATTCGAAAAATTTTATCAACTTTTTTTTTATTATTGGGAATCTTGATGAAACTAATAATTTTCTATTCGTAATATTCCATTCTGCTGAATGGAAAATCATTATTCTCATCAGTACTCCCAAGAATAAAAAAAATTGATAAACAAAAGTTGAAGAAAAAAATTTTTATTAAAAAATTTTTTTTGCTTGAATTGCGTTAAGGATTTTGTCGTTTTTCGACTGTTTCATTTTGCCCCACCCTCCAACTGAAACCGTTCTACCCCTTCGCTACTGAATTACCTTAAGATGATTAAATAAAAAATTATAATAATAATTTTTTATATCTTTCAATATCATGCTTCAAATTCATTCAAGTATGTGTCAATATAATTTTTCTATTAACATTTTATCGAAGGGCTGAGGGGAGAGATAGAACTGTAACAAAGACAATTGGTCGTATAGAAGAAAGGGTCGTATAATAAGAATAATGATGATGATAACATTCAACTAAATTGAAACTGACAAAATTAGTAAGAAGGAAATCTTATTCAATTTACTAAAATGAAATGAACAATGAATTATAAATGATAAAAGGAAATGAAATGCAAAATAACCGCAAAAATGACTATATTACATGCAAAACAAGAGCAATTTCCCCCTCGTATTCTATTTTCAGAGAATTACGAACGAAAAAAATTTAGTGAATTGAAATAATTTTTTTTTATGCTGCAGATTCCAACGATTAAGCTTAAGGCGTGAGGGTAATCCATCATGGAAGAGTTACAGCAACAGGTAGTATCATATATCCAATCAGTTTATCAAACAACCGAAAAAAAATGAAGCAATCCCTCATGGAAAGAACATATCCGAACACATATCTCAGTATATTTCACTTATATTTCGGCCAAAAATGTCATATGCCAGATATATCCTAGATATAAATATGCGCACATATCTCGATGTTAAATATTTAACATATATCTGCAATATATCCCAGATATATTTTCGGCCAAAAATGTGGTATGCCAAATAAATGCTAGATATAAGTGCTGCATATATCTCATTCCCATAAGGGAATAAAAATACGCAAAAGCCACATTAGAAATATGAAAACAGCGGAATCATCGTCGAATTTCTTCTCTCCATAAGTAACTCTTCATCTTCAGATTTTGAGTTGGTGTGACACCTTGGAGGAGTATCTGAAATGCGGGCAGTGTCGCGGACCGTTGATCCGGGACACCTACCTCTGTGAGGCAGGCCACTTCGTCTGCTTGACCTGCAGCCAGGACTCCCCCAACGACAAATGCTCCATATGCAAGATGAAGTACACAAAGACACGAAATTACTTGGCTGAGAATCTTGCCGAGAAGATGGAGACAATCAGGAAGAAGATCGGGGGAAATGTCGAGGATGACGACGACTTCAGGTCCGTCACCAGCGAGAACAGCAATGCCTCCTGGAACACTTTCCCCTGTTGGATTTGGAATTGCAAGGTCCAGGGGTCTATCGAGGAAATTCGTCAGCATTACAAGGAGAGTCACAGTGGAGTCTACGTCAAGGTGAATTTTTCAGTGATTTATTTATTTATTGTTGGTTATAAAAAAAAATTCATAGAAAAATCTGACGCTTTTGCTAAAGATTTTACTGAATTTATGTTGGAATTCTATTAAGAAATTCTATCTTTTCTCATGCCAATTTTATATAGATGGACTAATAGAATTTCTTAAGTAAATCTCCAGATTTTTCTATTCAGTTCTATAATCATCCATATTATTCATTAATTGTGCATAATTATGTGTTAATATCAGGAGCTATATCACGTATGAAAAAATCCTGTAGGATTTCCCACAGGATATCCTGTAGAAAATGCTATGGAGAATTCGAACATTTCCTACAGGATTTCTTATAGGATATTCTATAAAATGTTCAGTAGGATTTCCTCTGAAATTTAGGGTCATAAGGCTCAAAATGAGGGTCAAAAGAGTCTCATGGGGTCATATAAGGATCATATACGGGTCATGTGAGGGTCATATGAAAGTCGTGATTCTATAAAAACTGATCTAAAATTTCTCTCGAAACTTTCTCCTCAACCCTTCCACCTGTGGAACCCATAATCCCGCACCACCCCATCATCACTCATCAATCATAATTAATAATTACACCAGGCTAACGACAATCGTCCCGACTCCGAAGAAAATATACCCAAGTTGGAGGATTTAGATGTCGAGGTGTGCGTCAATAACGCGTACTACAAGGCCTCCATCACGGACGTCTTCCCCGAAGAAGTATCTGTGACCTTCGAGAACAACTGGATGCCTCAGTCAAGATTTCCGTTCTCTCAAGTTCGTCTTCCAATGAAGGACGCTGCAAGGCCATTTTTTGGTGAGGGCCGGGAGGTCGAGGTGAAGGTGAGGGCCAACGATGAGGCGCCTTGGGGATGGCGGAGGGCCATGATGAAGAAAAATACCCCGAAGGGATATTTAAAGTACGTGGAGTATCTCGACCCTGAGCCAAACCTCGAGGAAATAGTGAATGTGAAGCGTCTCAGGGCCAAAAACTCAAATCCTCCCATCGATGTGGACACCTTTCATAAGACTGAGGTGCACATATCTGAGGTCAACGTTGTAGGCAAGGAGGAAGTTCTCCAGAGTGTCCAGAGAATGACTGGGGCACCGTTGTGTAGATATTCCGAGAATGGTCGGGTAATTGTTGCCATCTCCAAAGTGGCCGAGGGAAAGGTAAAGAGTAGATAGAAATCAAATGGAATGGAAAAATTATAGTTGTGCTTCTGAATGGAAGCATTGTATTCGTCAAATCTAAAATTTCCATTTTTTTGTGTCAGGATGACTAATTTTGATCTCAGGAGTTCGAATATGCTGTTTTTAGATCATGTCCGTATGTGTATGTACGTATGTATGTATGTGAGCTTTTTTCCAATTTAGTTTTTCGAAGATCATTCAATAAATAATCATCGAAATCTTTTCAATCGTGGCTTAAAATATTAGGGGGCCAATCTTGGGCCGACATTGACCCGACCCTTGGCCGACATTGAGCCAACAATGCCCCGACATTGGCCCAACCCTGGACCGACATTGACAAGGCCAAGTCAAGGTTGAACTTCCCTACTAATCTGAAATTGATAACAAAAAACCGAATATGCACTTTATTGTTTCAATTCGATTAATCCATGCGGAAGCAAATTGCTAATTTATTAGCGAAAAAACTATACTCGATTTACACCTGTACGATGGGCCACTTGTTTACCTTCGAATGGGAGCCATGTATTTGAACGATATTTCGATTTTCGAATGTTGATTGCAAATGGTCTAGAATAACATGAAACGTGAAGAAATTATGTTTTTAGGGTCATGTGTGTGTGTATGCACAGAAAATTCAATATAAACTAGCGAAAGAGTGCTTAGATTAATTTGCGATTTTATTTAATTTTATTTCCGTCCCATTTCCGTCTTCACAATTAGATTCATTTAATTTAATCCATTCTTATTCTTATTATATGCATTTTTTCATTCTGTTTGTTTCAGCATTGCGATGGAAAACTTCCCCACTCGACGAGCTTCTTCTTGGATTACTCGTTTCCACGAACAATGGATCGACTTCTGGACATTCCAGATGTTGGATTATTCCTTCTTCATGTCGTTGTTTACGATAATGGAGCTCTACGTGCTCATCTGCTCATGTACGATAGCGGGAGGAATGCGAGGAAGTATCGGTACAAGTTGAAGATCCAGTGTAATGCACAGAATTTCAGTGTTGAAGGAGTTGTAAGATATTTCTCACTGTTTCTCTATTTTCAAAAAAAATTGATTCTTCTTTTTCGTTAATTCAGAAATTATTTCGATAATGAGAAGAAGTCGGACTGACCATTTCGTTCACGAAATGATGAGCATCGATATACTCTTACCTTCCTTTTATAATCCCATAAAAATCAGAAACGAGATAATCCGTGGAGGAAAACAGCCCGATTAGTGGCAATGATTTTCAATGATGAAGTTAATCTCCTGAAGATTAAAATAATCATTAACATTTTATCTTTGAAATGATAAAACGGAACAATTTGGTCGATCCTTCATATCTCGTTATGAATCCTCAATTATCTCGGTAATTTTTGAGTCCAGAAGAATATATATTGGAAATTTTCTCATTTAAAAAAATCTCTTGTCACATTTTCTTCAAAACCCAATTCCGAAAAAAAGATATTCTTCATCCAAACAAAACCTCATCTATTGTCCTCATTTTACGATAAAAAAAAATTCCTCATTAAAACTGATTTTACCAGGTCGATACCGTTCGTATCCCAAAGAATCTCCTCGCCAAGAAGGGTCTTTTCGTCCAACGAGCCCACAACCTCCAGATAGAGCTCCAGAAAACCCTAAAATTCACGTGCCACGTCGAAGTGGACAGGAACACTCAACCCCCAGAGGAGAAGGCCTCCCAGAAGCTCACGGGTGCTAGGTACAAGTCTCGTAATCAGAAGTCGACTGACGACCAGACGGATTCCACCGCCAACACAATAACCGAGGACTCGTCAGATCTGAAGAAGAAGCCCCAGAAGAACTTCCAGAAGAATCGAGACAAATTAACCAATGGAAATCCCCAGAATTCCCAGGAAAAACCGAAGAATCCAATCCCAAAGATTTCAAACCCTCAGAAGAAGCAAAACTCTGAAGCTAAAGCTGAGAATGTGAGGAAACCCATCAAGAGTAAATCTCCAGAGCTTCAGAATCATCAATCCAGGGTGGATGATCCTTTGCAGACGAGTGGAGGGCAGAATTCGCCCAGGCAGGGTGGATTCGGAGGGAATCTGGGGGGATCTGGGGGGACTATTCCTCCGGTGTTCGCACACCCACCTCCGTTCGGTTCGATGCCGAGTTATGGAAGTCAGGGGATGGGGTATCAGTCCCCTGGAGGGGGGGCTAACTACCCTCCAGGTGTACTGCCTCCCCAAGGTACAGGTTTTTTGAAACGTCTTGAGTATGGAAAATCGTATAGAGATGTTACTGTTTAGTGAAGATGAAAGAAACGTGAAGTTGCTTTATATGGCCGTTTGTTTTTATTGTGTCAAAAATACATATTATCAAATGCTCATAACTTTTATGCCGTCTGGGCCCTCAAAGTTTACGTAACAAAGACACAATGCCGTGTTGAGCGAATACTAAAGTCACAAGCCCAATTTTTGTCAGTCAGTAGATTATTCGCCCATTATCCTTCCCACGATCTCTACAACAAAAAGCAGAAATTTGAAGAACAATTGCAAAAAGAAAGACTCACTGTCGCCTCCTGTCCACATGAGTCACGTGAACTAGTCGCTGAAAAAAATCTCCGGTATTTTCAATTCTTCAAATGCCAAAAATTTCTTCTCCCTCATATTTTTCATTTTTTCATGTGTGAAGTTTATCTTTATATCAAAACATACCTAAATTGCCTAATTGTTGATCATGAGAAAAAAAATAGTATTTCTAAATTTTTTTAAATCACAAATTATTCTTCACTTCCCAAATTTTTATTTTTTCATATTTATCACACGCAAAAATGATCAATTCTTGCTTCTCAGATTTTCATACATAAATTCTAAACTCTACAAAATTCATGAAAATTCTCCGGTTTCCCAAATAATTTGAGAAATTTTTTCAGTTTTCTAGGAAATCAATTCACAACCCTCCCCTCATTTTTCAACAATTACAGATTTTAATCGGATTATTTTAAAAAGTAAAAAAAAAAGAATTAATCGAAGATTAAAAATTATTCATTGATGTTTCACTCTTCATTCTCTTAATTCTCTTTAAGTCATTATCAATATTTATAAAACATCTATGAGTATATGAAGTTTAATAAATTCGATTTCTTCATTTTCACAACGAATACATAAGCGTGCGCACAGGTCTAGTCTAATTCTAAATGAACTCTTATAGGTTCCTGTTTGAAAAATTTTCATCATTTCAGAAATCTTTATTGTTTTTGTTCGTTATTACCAGTCTTATGGAATTCAGTGAATTTTCTAAGCCCCAAGTTTTAAATTGCGTAGAGACGAAATCATTTTTTGCATTAATATTTTGGATGGAACACGTCTCACATTTTTTCTTCAATTGTTTTACCAGGCCTTCCGTCCAATCCCCACCACTTCGGAGCTACCCCAGGTGTTTTCCCTGGGGCAAATCCTCATTATCGTCCCCCACCTTCACCTGGAACTCCAGAAATACCTGGAGCACATCATGGACAGCCAAGTGCTCCAGTGGAAGATGGAAATGGGGGGTACGTTCAGTATCCTGATTTGACGAACATGAAACATAAAATGATGGATGAGGTTCAGAGGAAGGTCATCGCGAAGGAGCGCATGAGGGGCACTAGGACGTCGTCTACTGAGTCCAAAGACAAATGTGTCATTAGTTAGAGGGTTTCGAGGAGGTTTTTATGTGGAGTCGGTGGAGAACGTGGATTTACTGGAGTTGAGGTGAAGAATTCTGTGAAAGGTATCAAGACGATTTTTTATTTCTACGGAATTATGAAATTATCTTGAGTTAGTTTAGGAGAAAATATGAGAGGAGAAAGTTAAAAAAAAATAATGTCAATTGAAATTGTCTCCTGAAGTCGATAATCGTCGAGGTGATTCAGGATTTATTACAAAAGATGAAGAATCGAGTCATTTCGAGGATAAATTGCTCATGATCTTTTTGAGCTTCAGAGAATGAATTTCATTATCGACATTGGGGTTCGTTCCCTCCGCAGATTACCTCGTTAACAATTTTTCTGGGAGTATAAAAGAAATGTGAGAGTATGTCATTGCTCATGGTTTCATGAACGAAATGGTCAATGTGACTTGTTCGTTAATTATCAAAATACGTCGAGAATAAGTGATTTTAGCAGGGAAAACTCAGCTTTTGTGGCTGAGGAAATTTTCAGCAAAACGTGTCTTGTTTTTTGTTTTCAACTCCATAATTACTTGGACTGCTGAATAATTTCGCTAATGAATTGAGAATTAGTGGAACTGATGATTGAAAAATATGAAAAGAAAAATCATCGTTATGATGAATATATAATTGTTCACATCCTCATCAGTGTTTCAATTAAACTGAGAGGAACATCTTTGTTTATTTAAACCGTAAAATCCTGTCAATGGTCTTTGCGTACTGCATTTCGTGTTTTCATTTATTTGACGCGAAACCGATGCAATTCGTCGTTGTAATCAATTGATTGATTAATCGACTCCTATAATTCATCAGCAGTTACGAAATACATATTTTTACGTATGTGAGGTTCAATTCTAGTTTATTAATCGAGAATTGTTCCCTTCTATGAAATTGATATAAAGTTTAATGTATTCATTGCAAATCTGCTTGTGATTTTTGCTGGCTGTGGCTGTCATAAGTAGTTTTATTACAATTCCCTGTGTTTCAAGACATTTAAAAAGAGTTGTAGTGAAGGGTTTTTGAATCCCAAATATTTCTTTTATTGATAATCAAAGTTTACGAGAAGATGAAATGGTTTCTGTAGCGAAGGGACGTTGAGATCAATTCTTATTGTCGTGTTAATGAGGAATTTATCTCGATAATGAGTACTTCTACGAGAAAATGTCAACAAACGTTCTTTTTTCAGAATTTTATCAGCTACAAAAAAGGTCTCTTGACATTTTCCCTTAGATTCGATAGTTGGAGATTATTTTTTCTCAAAGTTTTTTTTTATAAATGAGTAAAATAATTTTTTTGTGAACTTTAAATATCTTGAGAACTACGGGATTCCGAGAAAATGTCAAGAGACCTTTTTTGTAACTGATGAAATTCTGAACGAAAAATGTTTTTTGACATTTTCTCGTAGAAGTACTCATTATCGAGATAATTTCTGTTTGGAGAAGACGAAGATATTAAGAGTGGACTATTTTGCTACAGATTTACTTAATTAATAATTAAAACAGGCAGATTTATGAAGGTTTTTGCTTTAAAAACCCTCACGACACGTGAGGGAATGAAGAGCATGTATTGAGAACAGTGAAACTATTGGAATTGCCATCGAAGTATTGAGATGATGGATGAATATTCCAATAATCGAATTAATTTTCGATTTACTGTTAAAATTTTTAGGAGGTGGATCCGGGATTCACTGAGTTCAGTTGAGGATTCTAAGAATATTTTTTATTGCCGAATGTATAGTTGAGTCGATGTATAATAGAAGCATGTACTCAATAAATTGATGATTCATTTAATAACTTTCAGATTTTTTTTTCTCCTTGAGGACTGAAATTTTTTACTGTTACTGTCAGATTTCGAGAGAAAATATCGGAAGATCTTCCTTGAGGCAATAGTCGTGTGGTGAAGTTAATCAATTAAATTTCATGAGAGTAATTTGGAAAAAAATTGTCTGCAAATAAACTCTTTAATGGAAACGTCACAAAAAAGAGTATATGCATACTTTTGATTTTGATTTTTTTTATTAAGGATTATCTTTTGAACGTGATCTTGATTGTTTTTTTCTACTTTTTTTTATTGTACAATCATAATTTTTCGGGACCCCTGCGTGATGTAAAATCCAATGGAAATTACGATATATTTTACATTATCAAGATGGAAAAGCAATCGAGATAACGTTCGAAAGATAATCCACCCAGGTCTTAAATTCTAATAATAAAAATGAAAGTAAGAAACACCTGTCGCGTATAATTCAGAGTTCCCTGATTTTTATTCCACCACCAAAGAAGAAATCGAAATCGAAAAATTTTTTTCCAAGAGAAAAATTAGGATTTGTAAAGAATAAGTCGTGTTTTCAACTTAATAGTATCTTTATATTGACAATTTCATTTTACATAACTTGAACACTTCGAAGAATATCGAGAGCAATCTCTCCACTCTTCGACTCAAAATACTCATGCATTTCACAAGTGACATTTTATTTCAACATTTTTCGTCGTGTTTTATTTTTCATTCAACATTTCGTGAATTAACACCAAATTTTTAGCTACATGATATTTTCAGTTATCTCATCCGTTTTTTCTAATATAATAATCGCAATTCAGTTAATGATTCCTATCACTACATTTTACATTAACTCAAATCGACACATTACGGGTCTTTAACTCTAAGAAGCCTCCTGAGAATTTTCTACATGAAATTATTGTATTTTTTCTAAATTGTTTTCGGTGGGTAATGAAAAAAAGTACAAATCGCCTCAAATATTTCTGTTGCATTTCTAATGTCTAATTTTTGAAAACATGAGAAAATGAACATTTTCCTTCATTCATCACTGATTCTGTACTAAAGTTAATTATGAAATTATCTGCAGAATGTTCCTGAGGCAATAACATTAGTAATGAGAATTCCATATTCGAAGGAATACGTTTTACTACTTTAATGCAGAATCAATCATCGAAATGAGGAAACCTGACTGTTTCATTTTTGTTCATTCATTTTAAAAAATTTGAAATTTCCAAAAAATAATCTTTGAAATGTCCCCTTACTCTTTAGAATGCTGTCGAAAATTTTTAATGACACACATTTATTTCACATATATGTAATTTACAATAAACTTCATCGGTGACTCAAGAAGGCGAGGGAATTTCTTCATGTTATCGCTTAATGATTTAACGAGGCCCTAACATTTTTTTACATCAAACGCCGGAAGAGAATACTCCCCAAATCAAAATGATGGTTCTTAACTCAAAAACAATTATTCTCGTTCGAGAATAAAATTGTTCAAAATTGTTAATTACTGTATCATGAATTATTAATCCCCAAGTTCGATATGTCTTCCCAGCAGGAAAGGAATTAATTCAAGTTGTGAGTATTCTCTAGTCGAATATAAAGACTGAAACTCTCAATTTATCAAAACATCAATTACTGAAAAAGAAAAATCATGTTCAACGACTCTCAGCTACTGTCTCACCAGTCGAATACAATGGAAAAATTTCATTGAAAACTCGAATTTTCCCCAAAATTAATCAAAAACATTTGCAATTAATCAAAAGAATGTTTACTCGAAGTGAATAGACCCGATGTAATTTTTCTTTTTCAAGTCTTGTAACTCTTAAATAAATAAAAACTTAATAATAAATTTTAGGAGGATCTTCATCTGTTGTTTCGAGTGACTTTAGTCCTCTGAGTGCTGCATCCAATAGATTTTCAGTAATGAATAATCAATGGGAAAAGAATTAGAAAAATTGGCAATTAAATGTTAATGAATCTAATTTTTCTCCATCAAAAAACAACAAATACCTCCACCGGGAATGCATCAGGAAGCTGTGAATGTCTTTTGTAATCAAAAACCAAAAATACTTGAAAAATTTCCCCTAGAAAATTCAACGCAAACGGAATTGATCATCTGAATGTGAAACTGGCTTTGGCACATTCATTCGTACGTTAAAAATCATTTAAAAAATGAGCAAAAATCATCCTGAATTAGTGGATAAAAATCATCACTAGTTTCAACTGTTGAAAAAGAACGGAAACCATTAAAAAATACATTTTCAATCTCCAAAAATGGATCTCTCGAGTCTCAAAAGTCTATCACTTGTTTTCACTCAGCATCAAGTCAAATGAGTCAGAGCAATACGGAAACACAATAAATGAGGGATGACTAGAGCACCCATTCGACTGTCTCAAAGAACATTCACCTTTTCCATTCACCAGATTTAACAAAAAAATAATGAAGAGTCTAATTGAAAGATACTTCTCCCCTGCCACCACCCATTGTCCACCACATTCACTTGGAGAGAAAATCAATTTCATTGATCACTACTTAAATCAAACGTTGCTATCTGGTTTATTGGTGAAACCTATCGGCTGTGCATTATCGACGAGATTCGCTCGCATTGTTGCTGCAGGTGCTTGGGGATTCCCTGCTGCTACACTCATATCGTCAATCGATGCCCTGAAAACATCAATCGAATATTAGTGATCAGAAGGAATGCTGTTTTCCCTAGGGTCCATGCTATTCTCCTCTAATTGGTGATGACTTGGTAAAACGTTATGAATTGAATTTGACTGTTTTGTTGAATGCGAATTGATCTTGAAGACGAGTGGTTCTGGGAGGAAATGTCAAGGTCTTTTCTGACGAAGAAATTTACGACAGAAAATGTCTAGTTAAGTTTCTCCCTGAAACCACTCGTCATCGAGATAACTTCGTTTTTAGCGAGGTGAGGAAGTACTTTTAGGTCAGTAATACTTTTACGATTTTTAATAACTGAATTTTCATAGTCAAAGGCATCCACGAAGGGGTAAAATGGGGTGAGTCAAATCGGCTTCGAGACAGATGAATTTCTGATGGATTTCTTCGAGTCTAAGCGAGATTGGCGAATTTTTGTGGAGATTTTTTTTTGGAGAGAAACTTTTACATTTTGCTAGATGTCGAATTATCTTGATAACGGGTGACTGTACGACAAAATGTCAAGGGGAATTTTCCCAAAACTGAATTTCGACTTTCACGAAAATCCGAATATCTCAGAAATCATCAATTTTACTGCAAAACCTCAAAAGACATTTTTTGTAGGTCATAAAATTTCCCACATAAAATGTCTTCTGAGATTTCGACATAATTAGCAAAATAAGAATTGAAAAACGTATCATAGCATAAAAATTTCTAAAACTCAATTTCGACTTTTTCTCACAAAAATCCAAATATCTCAGAAATCAATTCTACTACAGAACCTCAAATGACATTTTTGTAGCTCATGAAATTCTCCAAAAAAAGTCTTCGAACATTTTCTCTCGAGACTCATTCTCATAAAAATTTTCCACATTTTACGTTTCTACTAAATGAAATCGGCAAACTGCACTACGAGAACGAAGAAAAAAAATCGAAAACCATAAACATAATCATTTCTACCTCTTAAAACTAATTAAGCAAGCCCATGCAAGCCCGAGTTCTCCAGTACCCCACGAGAACCCACAACCCCATTCAGAGATGATCATTACTCCATGCATTAGGATAACAGGATATCTGCGAATGTAGTTATGATTATTGCCTTGTTAGCGAAGTGGTGGAATGAATGTTGCTATATCCATTTTATGTTGGCCTCCAGACATCTGGATCCTCCATCAATGTCGTATGATGATCAGTTGGTCCTGTACCAGGTGGTGGTGACACAACACCCGATGGTGAGCCCATTCCAGCTGGATCAGGCCCTTGTCCTCTGTTCATTCACGTTATCCCCATTTTTAGTCAAACAATTCTCCCCCATTTTCAGTTTACATTGTCAATTTTTTTTATGATTAGAGGTGTAAAACCCAATTGAGGAGTTGGATAACACGTGATTATTGAGAATGATGGTTTTAGAAAGCAGAAACACATTTTTTGGGAGAATTTTGAGGGCCTACTTACTTCTTCCCGATGGACATGAGACCGTAGATCACTCCCGCACCGAAGATCAGGCCACTTCCTAATATACTGGATACTCCTGGGCAGAGGAATATCGCCGGAAGCGCTATTCTGGAATTATGAAAGAAAAATTTACGACTTAAACATTCAATTGAATTAATAACTCAATTGATTGCATTAGGCCAGTTACACTATTCTTTTGTTTATTCGATTGAAATTCAGCATCACATTCTCCAAAAAAAATATTTAAAAAAATCACATTTTCCTTTTTTCCCCTCGGGTGTCCCCCCGGGCCTTGCTCTGAACTTTGGATTTTGCTGTTTCATTTTCTTTCAATCAATCCATTGACAAAATATTCTCGAGCCTAAATTTCTCAATAGTTTTCCATTCTGCTGAGTACTTACATACAATAACCAGCGGCTCGATTCCAGTACGGCCGCCTCTCGACATTATCACTCACAGATTGAACGAAATCAAGGAACATGCAGCAGCAAGGGGCCTCGACAATTATCACCAGAAAGCCAGCCACCATTTGCCACATCCCACTGATCAGACACGATACATCACCCAGGAGGATGCCAATGCAGTTCCAAGCACCAAGGAAAATCGCAACTGCAACGAGAATCATTATTAATTAATTAACTTTCCACCATTTCTTGCGCTAAATCTCAGTCTCGCACTTGTGATTAATAACGATAAAACGTCAAGGTGAAAGTTTTTTGTGCAGCAGGGATATTTATACGTTGCTAACAATTTTTAGAGAAGTTTTTGTGTGCACAAAAAGTTCATCTCTTTGTGAAGTGGATTTAATTTCACGTTTTTGTTGCATAAGAATTTTTTTTAAGAGACGAGACCCTTCATTTCCTCGCATTCGATCGTCGTTTTACCACTTCAATGCAGAATCCATTGTCGAAATAAAGAAATTTTACTATTTCGTTTTCTTCATTCATTTTTAAAGGTTTTGAAATTCCTTAAAAATCAATATAATCTTCAGAATGTTACATTACTCTTTAGAATGCTTTCAAGAATTTTTGATGACACATTCCACATTTTATATTTAATTTCTAATTAACTTTTTACGTGACGCAAGTGGTCGAGGGAATTTCTTTTTCTAATTATCGCTTGATGATTTAATAGCCCGTAACATTTGTTTACATCAAACGTAGGAAAATAAAATTCCTCAAATCAAAATTATGGTTCAACTCATGAATAAGTAGAGCTTGATAATAAATTTTAAATCCTCTGAATATTGCATCAATACATTTATGGTAATTAACAATCAATTGAAAAACGGGAAAAAAAATTTTAAAACTTTTCTCTTCTTTTTTTTTTTGAATTTACTAGAAGTAAATTTAAAAAAAAAATAAACAATTGATGCAATTTTCCTTTTTAAAATCTTTGAACTTCTAAATAAATAAAACTTGATAAGCTGAAGGCCCTCGGGTAATGGCCATTTGTAAGAATGTATGTTTCTTGTAATAAATAACGTTAAAAGTTAAGTTAAAAATTGCTAGTGATTTTTATGAAGATTTCAATCTATTGTTTCGTATGTCGTGAGTCCTCTGAATATTCCACTCAGCAAATTTTTTATTAAATAATAATCAATAACAGAAAAATGATAAAAAAAGCCTCCAACATCGTATCCATTCTGTTCCAGTGGCTGATTAGTGCACTCCAATTACTCCCAAAACAAGCAACATGATTTGCAAAAATCCAAGGGAAAAATAGCCCTCAAAAACAGAATAACCCCAGGAGATCAATTCAACAGCTCCAAAGGAGACGAGATTCCCAATGAAATCGATAATCCCAGACTGCCTTATTCTCATTAAAAAATGGGTTAATTAATTTCTTACTGAAGCCTCCGCCAGTTCCCACACCACGTCCCGCATACTTCAGGTACCAGGGCACGTCATCCTTGTTCACTGGATCCTGTCCAGGTCGCTCCATTATGGACGCTATTTTTTCACCGAACGACTGAAATGATTCACCATTTTTAACGACTTATCCGTCACAATCCTACCACCACTGGATTGATTTTCTACGGGGAACTGATAAGATATGGGACTGGTGATTACCATTGTGAATGTATTCCCTCAACTTCTGACGTTGATCGGACACTCGTCAGCTGACACCACCACTGTCTAGAGCACTCTTGTTCTGTTCTTCACTCACCTTTTTACACGTTGAATGCTGTTGACGTACTGAAAAAAATCGACCCATTTTAATTCGGTGATTCCCCGGTAGGAGACGACGAACTTTTCGGTGAAAACAGGCTTGAGAATTTCTTTTATTTGTCATCTATTTTTTTATGCTGCGCAGAGTCAATTTAGAAGTCTGAAAAAATTCGCAAAAGTGGACTGGGTGGAGTAGACTATGAAGAGAATTTTTTCGGACCCAATTTGTGCAATTATCTGGTGTTAAAATTTTTTTTTGATCTATTAAGATCCATTTTCATGAAGGGATTCTTTATCTTTGTTTCCGAATGGAAGCTTTGCTGTTGTTCAAATTTAAGTTTTCAATTTTTTGTGCCAAGGTATTTAAAATTCGAATGTGCGATTTTTAGGTCATTTTGTTTCGAAATTTAGAATTTTTTCATGAATATAGAAAATTCAATTTTTCGTACGGATTGAAACAAGTGGGAAATTGCTCTTGTATTGCATATAGTATAGTTATTTTTGCTAATAAATTAACAATATGTTTCCCAATTGTTATTTTGCACATACTTTCCTTCCGTCATGTATAATTCATTGTTTATTTCATTTTATTAAATTGAATGAGATTTCTTTTCAACTCACCTAGTTGAATGTTATGTTAGTTGAATGCAATTGTCTTTTAATTTTCGGCGTTATAAATAAAGAACACCTATTCCTTGGATTTTTAACAATATATTTTCTCCTTCAACATTTTCTGTTTTTTTGCCCTCATATTTTCACAGATTTCAATATATACATGATGAATTAGTCATTTACATTGTACACGTTCAACTTAGTACCGAAATAACTCGAAAACGAGAGTAACGATTTTTATATTTCCATTTTGAATAAATTAGTAAAGATTAGAGAGAAAAATATAAATAATATATCATGATCCTTAATTCATCGAAAGGCATTGGAAGGACTCGATTATCCATTAATCTCGAGTGTAAAAAAGAACTCTTTCATCCGTGGGAAGAATTTTTCATATTTTTGGCGAACATAATTGGCTAATTGTTTACAATCAAAATATCATAAACGACTGATTAGTTTCAAAATTCAACTAGAAGACGTGCATCTTAAAATATTACATGATTTTTAATTTTTTCATCAAATGAATTCTTTCTTCATTAATTGTTAACAGTGCAACCTTTGAGTTTGAGTAATTAGGCGAGACTGGAGCAAGATGCCCTCCTTAAATCTTCAATATCACCTGCACGAGTGATCTGAATCGAACGAATGAGCCCTCATTTTGATGTTTGAAAAAACATCTTCAAAGTGCCACCTCATTCGTCCCATTTCGTCCGGCCAATCTTCAGTTATTGAACATCTAGGGTGGACCATTCTGGCTCTCCCCCTGATTTAAAAGTTTTTACTTTCAATTTTTCATAATGAAAACTTGATTATTCTCGATCTTTGTTAATTGTCTTCAGATCATTAATTACTAAGTAAATTATTATCCTTCATCTCAACAACAAAAGCGGACGTGCACGTTCACTGACGACCATAAAAAGCTTTTTTTTTCAATTCATTTCCTTTTTCAAAAACACAACTCTCAATTTATATTTTAGATATCGATCCCCTTTCGTTGAAAAATCAAAGTAAAAATCGTTGATTTCGTTCAGTTCTATTTCCGCATCATTCGATAAATGCTTCAGTGGAGATAATTTCATGAATGTTCTCCATCAAAAAGTTTATATTCTCGCTATCATGTGAGAATGGAATGGAAATAATATTTTCCTAGAGCTGCGCAGGGTAAATCATTTGTTTCTTATAAATTAGGCGTTCTCAATGTCTTACATCAGTCTTGGACCGAATTTAAATAATCACTAACGACAATTATATACAGAATCACATGAAGGAAAAACAAATCGAAAAATTATCTAATTGATTCAGTAGTGAAGTGGTAAAGAGTGAATTTCCCACATTTTGCCGAAAATAAATGATGTCCTCAGACCTTTTTTTCGGAAGTTTTCTCATGTAAAAAAAGCTTTCCCAACATTGTTTAAAAAAAAAAAAACAATTCGACGCATGTTTTACGATTCACTTCCGCATCCATCGAAAAAAACGTCATTCACTCCCAAAAAAAAACAACAAAAAATCCTGAAGAAAATTACTTAAGGCAGTATTAACGCTAGCATCTCCTCTAGAACAACCCCAAAACAATGACAATGAAAAAAAAATGAGACAAGCGTTCATATGATGCTCATGGAGCGTCGATATCGTTTTCTAGTATTGGTCGATGCGATAGGAACGGAAAGTGGTGCTGGCGGTGTTACTGGTGTAACTGGTGTTACCGGTGTTGATGGTGTTTCAGCCGTTGTGGCCGAAGAGGGGGGCCTGAGCTACCAAATGTAGTTTTCAGTCTGTGGTGCCCTCATCACACCAACACCACCACCCAATCGTCTGTAGTTCATGCAGCCACACAGACGCCACTGGTTCTGCTCAGGATCGTAAACTTCGATGGTTTTCAGATATGCTGTACCGTCAAAACCGCCGACTGCGTAGAGTTGACCGTTCACCACGGCCAGGCCAACCTGAAATTTTTCATACAATGAAGACAGACGTATCCACGTCAAAATTGTATTTCAATTCTTTTCTTCGAGAAATGAATATTTCGAGAATGGAAACAATGGAAACCTGTGGTCTGAAATTAGGTTTCTGAGGGAAAAGAAGATTTAGTTGGACTATGGAAGAAAATTTTGAAAAAGGAAGAATTCAGTAGCAAAGTGGTAAAACGGTTTAAGTCGACTCATCTCCCAGTTGAGTTTTTGAGGAATATTTCCGAATCTAAGGGAGATAGCGAAATTTTCGTTATAACGTTTGTTGTAGCTCTCAATCGGCTCTACAAAAAAGGTTATAATGAAAATTTTGCCATCTCCCTTAGATTTCGAGATATTCATTGAAAACAGGTCAATGGTCGAAATTGACAAAATTAAAAAAAAATTATTCCAAATTGGCCTCAATATTATTGCGGGGGTTCAAGCCATCAAATCGTGCTTTGGGATACTCCAAGGACATGAAAAACCCTTCAAAATGTCGTGGTTTATACGAGAAAATGTTGTTTTTCAATCGTTAATTACTAAAGAAGATCATTTTTTTTAATCTGCCATTTTCACCAAAAATTAACAATAAAATAAAAGGAATTTTGGTCCCAATTAGAGTTTGTCTTTCGGCGTAGCTTGGCGGTTATAATTTTTTTCATTGAGACAAGTATTGAAAATGACCGAAAATCGCTATTATTCATGCAATTATCGCCCAAATAAGTGAATATTCAATGAAATATTGGCAAATGGTGAAGATTAGACTCATTACATCTTCTATTATTCATCTTCAACACAGTTTTCTGAGTGAAAAATGAGTAATTCTCCAATTATACAATGGAAATACATTTCCAAAGACCTTTTANTTTTATGCTTATTTTATATCGCTTCGAGTCTGATGAGACTATATGGCGATTGATCAAGACTTTAAAAATGGTTAGATCTCACCATTCTACCCGGCCAGGAATCGAACCTGGAACCTATCCGTTGTGAGGCAACGGCCTTAACCACTACGCCAGGCCACCGGGCATTTGTTGCTAATCGAGAATTCAACTGAATTGCCTCATTTTTAATTATTCAATTGAATATTCACTCATTGCGCAAAGCCATCCAACTCGTCGTAGCAGAAGTGCAACATTTCGCCAAATAATTGATACAAATATCCCAGATTCTCCCAAGGTATTGTACGACGTAAGTCGTCCCTGGCCAGAAGGTAAATCTCGAAATTGTATGCGATAGTGGAGTTTTTCATGTATAAGGATTCGCCTGAGACAACAGATAAATATTGACAACTGCAGACTTACTCCACTTCTTCTTGAAGTCATAGCCACAATAGGACTCCACGAATTCGTGTGAGGATTGTACCTCTCAGCACTGGACAACTCCATGCAGTCGTCTCTGCCCCCGACCGCATAAATCAGATTATTAAAGACAGCGCAGCCGAGGTGTTTCCGTCTGGTCGACATGGGCGACACTTGGGACCACTTATTCTGCCTGGGATCGTATCGCTCAACGGTATTCAATGGTGAGGTGCCATCAGAGCCTCCAATGGCATACAGATATCCCCCAAGTACTGCCACAGCGACCCCGAGTCGTCGTGTAGTCATTGGAGATACTTTAGACCATTTGTTCTCCTTTGGGTCATATCTGCAGGGACAAAAGAAAACGATCTGGATGACGACTGATTGACACTCGCTAGATTCTTTAGCCACAAATTAAATCTAGACATTTCCCCCTGAATTCGCTAGAAAATTCTATTGGAATTCTGATAAATAGAATTCTGATATTGGGAACTGTAAATTGTTGTGTCGTATAACATAATTTTGCTGTGATATTTTGTACTTCATTTATTAACGCAATTCACTGTATTGTCCACATTTTTTTCATTTTTCATTGAATGAATTCTCACGCCAAAAGTGAATATTTATTGATATCGAAGACTGTTGAATGTGATTCACATGTAATCATTTATTCATATTAAGAATTTTATCAGAAATTGTTTGCATGCCTAAAAGAATGAGGTTCCCTAAATTCAGTAGTGAAGCGGTAAACCAAGTTAAGTCGATTTGGACTATTAGCCAGTTTTTGCTGAATATCTCGGAATCTAAGAGAGATAGCAAAATTTTTCTCATAACTTTTTTTATAACGCTCTATTGGCTCTATAAAAAAGGTCGTGACAAAAATCTTTCTATCTCTTTTAGATTCCGAGATATTCGTCAAAAACTAGCCAATAGTAAAAATCGACTTAACCCGGTTTACCGCTTCGCTACTGAATTGAATTTTTCCCTGTTGAATGTCTCTAGCCTCAGCTTTCTGTTGATTGACACGACAATTGACTAAAGCCCTAAAATACAAATTTCCTCACCTCTCGACATGATTGAGACACTGCACGCCATCCTGTCCCCCCACAGCGTAGAGAAAGCCATCCAGCACAGCGACCCCAACACTAGTCCTACAAGAGGTAGTGGGCGCCACATCGCACGACCACTGATTAGTCTGCGGATCATATCGTTCAATACTATTGAGATAGCTCTGTCCGTCATGTCCCCCAACGGCATAAAGCAGATCATTGAGAACAGCAACCCCAACTCCACACCTCCTCTTGCTCATGGGTGCGACCATCTTCCAGTCAGCCGTATTGGGATCGAACCTCTCGACAGAGGCAATGGCATCACCAGAGCACCAGCCGCCCACTGCGAAGAGGACTTCGCCCCTTCGAGTAGGCTTTCTAGGTCTGGTCCTGGGCCCCTGCATCAGGGGCCTCTCCTGCGGCAGGAGAAGGTAGTTCTTGGCCTCGTCGACCAGATCCCTGCATGCGTCGTCAGATCGCACCAGCAGATCCGAGCCGACAGTCCCTACGAGAAATTTTGGCGATAGCAGAGGCAGACGCACGTGCTGAAGCACCTGCGCCAGATGCTGACGTCTCTCTGTAACATTGTACTTCACCCAATTCATCACAGCACTGAACACCTGCTCCTCAGTTCTAACGTTCAACTCATCGGATGATATTATATCGACTAGTTGGCCGACTGGCAGTAGAAGGAACTCCTCGCTCTCCATGACCTCTTGGAAATTGTGCTGTGTAAATTTGTCAGCTATTCTCAAGAGCTCTCGGCATGAGTGGGTGTCGGCAAATGCCCGAATTCCCAGACAGTTTGAGGGGTCCAATTGGCGTTTCAAAAACTCACAGCAGATGTCCTGAATCTCGGCCAACTGCAGGAGGCAAGCCGCTGGGAGGAGGGTTTGGACGTTTGCCTCTTCCACTATTATGTGGGAGGTGTAGCAGAAGTCTATCAGCAGCTCCATTGCTACTTCGTCGATGTCGCGGATCGTTACTTCGGTCTGGCGAGACTCCGCCAACTCCCCCGTGAACATCGCTCTGGAGGGACGGTCGTTCATTAATCGTGGAGATGATGGACATTGGGGGTTTGGGGGTAATGGATTAATTCCAGGGATAGCGTTGAAGTGAATAACATCACTTTTGAATTTTTTGAGGAGTTGAGTATCAATTCAAGTATTCAAATTTTTTAACTATTTTATCAATCAATAGTTGAGGTGGGAAGATTGGGGATTATTTGGGTAATTGAAAATTCCCTTTTGAGAAATTTGAAGTATTCACTTAGTAGTCAATTTACAGGTGCATATTAACACATTTTTAATACATCGTTGTTCGAAAAAATCAGATTAATAATGTTGTGTTATTTAATTTGGTTTACACGACAGTTGAGACTTTATGTAAGATACCTTGGGTACCCTAGGGAGTTGAATGCCGGGAGAAGAAAAATAGGAAGCAGATGTTCTTTATGAGATCCGTCCTATGGTGATCTCTTATTCAATGAAATTTTTGCTTCTGATCAAGTTATATCGGTAATTAGGGAGTCAGGACGTGGGCAAATACTATTATTTGATGCAGTCGTTCTTCGCTTTTTGCTTCCGCATGGCAGCATTGTATTTGACCGATTTTTCGACTTTCTAATTTTGACTGCAAATGGTCTAGAATGTTATGAATGTTTTTAGGGTCATGTCTGAATGTTTATGTGGGAAAATTTGGGGTTTTGGTGATCAATTCATGGATCGGAATCCAACATAAGTTTAATGATATTTGATATTATGAGGAGTTGGACTTCACAATCATTAAAGTTTACTTATTTTCATTGAAATTTGAATAATAATAAGGTAATTGATAATTGATTTTTCAATCGACTATTGAGTAAATCTTTCAAAATTTCATAAGAGATTTTCGATTCGCCAATATTTAAGTGTAGGAGAGTCAAATAATCCTATGTACATTACTTAAAGTAGCTCTACCCTTCGGCTACGCTGTACTTTTAGATATTTTCAGTTTTTTAATTTTTCAACGAAATTGCATGGAAAAAATTTGAAAAAATTCATCCCCAGTCAGTATTATCTAAATTAAATTTCGCAAAATACTGATATTTTTTCAAACATTTTCCTCTTATAAATAAATAATAAAACTTGTTTGCAAAATGGTGGATTTTTTCTTATGAGATGTCAAAGAAATTCTAGATTTTTTCACATCTAATGAAAAAAAATTCAGATTCTAATCTGTGATTACAATGGAAATGTTGATTTTCACATAAGATTTTCACACTCGGTTGAATCCTGATTTTTAAACATTTCTCCTTTGAAAAACCAAAACGATAATTAAATTGAGAAAAAAATTAGAATTCCGAATCTAATGGAGTTTTCTGCAATTTTTTTCAGTTTTCATAATCATTGAATTTACCGTAAGGGCAGAGCTAAGACGAATCTTCTGCTGTCGAATCTTTCGCCAGTTTCAGCTTCATGGGACAAACCTCGTATCATCACGACTGTCTCAGAATTAATACAAAACATGTGAGAAAAAAAAATCTAATAATTTACCTGAAGTAAGGACTGCATGCCGACAGTATAACCCGATGCGCAAATATCTTCCTGGTACCGACATTGAGTACAACGTCGCACAACTCTCGATGACGTCTTAGTACATTGAGCTCAGTGAGGGTAGCACGAGGATGCTTCTCGGAGGTATGACTGAGGCGTGCTGGTGATGGTGCTCGCTCAACCACCATCTCGCCCATCCTCTGGCTCGAGGATGCTTGGCCAGCCGTGCTCCCCGAGGCGCCTCGGCTCCCCCCGGCTAGCTGTAGGCGCAGCGGGGGTGACGCCCAACCCCACACCGAGTCTATCTGCAACACCATTCACCAGGACCGATCTGTTCGGTCACAATTCTCGCTTTTTCCTAAATTTTTTTCCCCCTCTCTTTTTCGACTTTTTAAAACTATGCTCTCACTTTCACCTTCTGGCTTTGCTTGGCTACCAGTCTAACCTGTAGCTATAAAATTTCGGGTCTTTTTTGTGGACGAAAAGTATGAAAGTGGAGTTTTATTTAATAAGTGGTGATAAGAGACTAATGTTCAGCCTCATTTGATTATTGATTGTTTGAGTCATTGGATTAAATTAATGTGTGAAAAATGTCATGTTTTCTTTGTTATTAATCTCTCTTTGGAAGAATAATTTTTTCAATTGAACAAAAAAATTTAATATCGTAATTTTGATAATAGTTTGTACTTTTATTTTATGACGAAAGCCAGAAGACTCTTGATCGTGAAATTGAAGATCGAAATTAGGAAATAGTGATGAAAATAAACATAGAATTTTACCAGTATTATCTGTAGCTATAAAATTTCGGGTCTTTTTTGTGGACGAAAAATATGAAAGTGGATTTTTATTTAATAAGTGGTGATAAGAGACTAATATTCAGCCTCATTTGATAATTGATTGTTTGAGTCATTGGATTAAATTAATGTGTGAAAAATGTCATGTTTTCTTTGTTATTAATTTCTCTTTGGAAGAATAATTTTTTCAATTGAAAAAAAAAATTTTAATATCGTAATTTTGATAATAGTTTGTACTTTTATTTTATGACGAAAGCCAGAAGACTCTTGGTCGTGAAATTGAAGATCGAAATTAGGAAATAGTGATGAAAATAAATATAGAATTTTACCAGTGTTATCTGTAGCTATAAAAATTCGGGTCTTTTTTGTGGACGAAAAATATGAAAGTGGATTTTTATTTAATAAGTGGTGATAAGAGACTAATGTTCAGCCTCATTTGATTGTTGATTGTTTGAGTCATTGGATTAAATTAATGTGTGAAAAATGTCATGTTTTCTTTGTTATTAATTTCTCTTTGGAAGAATAATTTTTTGAATTGAAAAAAAAAATTTTAATGTCGTAATTTTGATAATAGTTTGTACTTTTATTTTATGACGAAAGCCAGAAGACTCTTGGTCGTGAAATTGAAGATCAAAATTAGGAAATAGTGCTGACAATGAACATAGAATTTTACCAGTGTTATCTGTAGCTATAAAATTTCGGGTCTTTTTTGTAAACGAAAAGTATGAAAGTGGAGTTTTATTTAATAAGTGGTGATAAGAGACTAATGTTCAGCCTCATTTGATTGTTGATTGCTTGAGTCATTGGATTAAATTAATGTGTGAAAAATGTCATGTTTTCTTTGTTATTAATTTCTCTTTAGAAGAATAATTTTTTTAATAGAAAAAAAATTATAAATATCGTAATTTTGATAATAGTTTCTCCTTTTATTGATGACGAGAGCCAGAAGACTCTTGGTCGTGAAATTGAAGATCGAAATTAGGAAATAGTGATGAAAATAAACATAGAATTTTACCAGTATTATCTGTAGCTATAAAATTTCGCATTTTTTATAGATGAAAAATATGAAAGTCGATGTTTTTTTAATAACTGGTGATAAGAGACTGATGTTGAGCCTCATCAGTTGATTATTTGATTCACTGGATTAAATGTTTGTGTCAAAAATGTCATGTTTTCTTTGTTATTAATTTCTCTTTGGAAGAATAATTTTTTCAATTGAAAAAAAAAATTTTAATATCGTAATTTTGATAATAGTTTGTACGTTTATTTTATGACGAAAGCCAGAAGACTCTTGATCGTGAAATTGAAGATCGAAATTAGGAAATAGTGATGACAATGAACATAGAATTTTACCAGTAAAATCTGTAGCTATAAAATTTCGGCTCTTTTTTGTGGATGAAAAATATGAAAGTGGATTTTTATTGAATAAGTGGTGATAAGAAACTAATGTTGATCCTCATCAGTTGATTGTTTGATTCACCAGATTAAATATATGTGTGAAAAATGTCATATTTTTTGTTATTAATTTATTTCTTAAATCATAATTTCCTCAATTGAAAAAAAATCGCAATTTTGATAATTTCTATTATTCCGCATGAAAAAAAATGTAAAGTGACTGGATGACGAAAGCCAGAAGACTCTTGATCACATAATTTTGAGATCAAGAATTCGGAAACAGTGATAAAAATAAACACAATTTTACCTTTGATGATTTTCGGTACAACCAGGTGAAAAATAGGGTCACACTATTACCCCTCGAACTTATGATTCACTCGTGAGGATTTAATTCGTTCCACCTTTACACAACATCGCTGTGATCACGCAGCACTCGTTTTTTTTTATGCTTGGGTAAATGAATCGTTTTTACGTGAAAATCCTTTCTGGAATTTCAGTTATGAATCGTTGAGTGGAAATATTCTCGTGATTTATTATGTTGAAATGGCACAAATGGAGAGTGAACACACTTGGGAGAGTGTTTTGAGGACACTTGGCTAATGCATTTGATTGATTTTAATCACACATACACGATTGTAATAATCATTTTTGACAATTATTATCTGGCGCATCGGTTGGGTCAACCAACGCACGCACACACAGTTATCGGGGGAACACTGATGCTCAACGATGTGTACAAATTGGTCAGGGTTGCCAAGCGACGTTCCCCTCACATTATTGCGGAGTGGCAAGACTGTCTCATCACGTAAAATTACCATTTAATGACAACACCAGCTTCTATTTCAACATCTGATGGTAAAATGGATTTTTATTTTATCGTCCGTTGGTAAGACAATTTTATCATTTTACCAACTGATGGTATTTTTCACGAAAATTCAAAATACAGTGGGGTAAAATGGGATCCGACTGTGATATATATAATGATTCGAAGATATATTCCATTTTGCCCCGTTTCGAATAAAGAAAATAGTTAATAAATTGTTTTCACCAAATTTTCGTCGAATATCGATAAATTAATTTAAACAATTCAATTCCAATTGACTAGGTCGAATTAGTTGAATATGTGATTTCATCACGAAGAATTACGGGCAAAGATGCTGTTATTTTATTCGATGTTGATAATGATAATATAAAAACCATACGAACGCAATTTCATTGAGTGAAGAATCTCACTTTTTATCATCATTGACGCTTTCACTGGTCAATAAAAAAGCACTCGTCGTATGTCACCAGAGAACCGTTTTGGCGGTGAAAGTCTTCAAATTATTTACCCGTATCGAAGGTGGGGTGTGTGCCATGAAAAAAACGTTGAACAATTGAAAAGAAACCTCAGGAGGGTTTTTAACGAGCGCTTTTAATTCGATATTAATGACAGGTTTGCACCCAGCAATACACATCGATAATAATGAGTCGAGGGGGTACGTATGGAAGAGTGGCGGAGGCACAACCACTGACTACAACCATGTTGAGAGGTTTTTTTGTCCCTGGATCTCTTCATTAATAACTCGTCTTGTGTTCTGATAATGAGGCTGTCATCGTTGGAACTTTGTACGGTTAATTATGGACATAAATTTCATATCTGTCTCCTTAATTTTTTTTTTCACAAGCGATCAACTTTTTTAAACGTCTTGGCGAATTTGAGAGCATGGGAGTGATGGCGGATTCCCGCGCAGATCAATCTCGTGATATATAACCCCAAATATTGAATTAAATTGATGATCACCAGAGAAATGTTCAGCAGCCTGGACCGAAAATAGGCCCAGATGAAATGTTGAATTTCGTTCTGCAATGGCTGGAACGAATTTCCTTATGAAGAATCCCCTTAGGAAATGGGGTTATGTCATCTGGAACTCCACCTCCAACTTTCAAACTCCTCGTTTACGAGTTCCACCGAATAATTTCGCCCATAAACACACGCGTTCCATTCCTCCAATGGGAGAGAATGTAAAAATACCCCTTTCTAATCTTTCCATAAAGCGGAAAGAAATTGCGACGATAATGAAATCCCCAGAGATCGCATTTCTCAGCAATTAAGTTGAAAATGCCCCACAAAGTTATCCCTCTTTTTCATCGTTCCATAGCTGTATAACGTCGACGGCTGTTCAAACACACGCTATAACGTTATTAATGGATGTCTGCAATTTTTTTTTCTCATCACCATTTCATTTGTTTTCCCTGCAACCATCGCTTCAATTATATTTTTTTATAATTCTTTATCTATCCTGTGTCCCCACCACTCGTCTATTGGACTCTCGGGATATTTGAGGGGAAAGGGAGTATAACGGATATAGGCGGGAATGAATTAATAATGGTGTCGAATGACATTGTGCGATGATAGATAATGTAGGGACGAGTGGGTGATTGCCACTCGATATTAATTAAAATTAAAATTAGAATTAAAATTCAATTCATTGATTGGTTTTTTTAATTTTCAATTTTTGTCGAAAATCGGTTGTTGACATTTGCCATTTGATATTTGACATTTGACACTCCCCTTTGTCCCTGAAAATCATTCAATTGAGAGAACAATTAATTAGTGATTGGTGACCGTAAATTAGCTAGAAGAAGTGGTTCAATAATAATGAATTAGGGTTTGAGACCTCAAGGTGATATTTCCAACTTTTTATATTCATTAGTTTGATTGAGAGGAAAAGAAATGGACTAATGATCTTTTTTTCACGATTTAAAGAAGAAAATGAGAAATGAAAATTGGGTAATAATTTGGGGAAAGTGTAATTGATAGTTTGGTACACTGGCAGCTCTCGATTCTGACGCTTCGGTGGTTAAAAAAAAGCGAACACGGAATTGAGGCAGGTGATGGGAAGAGTCACCGGTATATGTTATTCGGATCACTCTTGATCATTACGCATCACACGATTCGTGTGTGTTTGTCGCCGAGAATTGATCGCGACACGAGAACTTAATTAGGATTTAACTTGGTCATAAAATTAATTGACAAGAAGCGACCGCATATTTTACATACTTAGTATTTATTTGATTCAAGGGAAAAATTTTTGCGGTATTTTACGTTAATCAGTATACTTTAATCTCTTACTTGAGATTTCGTAATTGGCATAAATTGAGGAGATTATTGACCATCGCCTCTTCATTTCTCGCTGTTTAGATTAAAAATCACGCGCTTCGTCGATAAATAGCAGGTGATTTTTATTACATTTAAATGATTGGATTATCAATTTGATGAGCGCTTTTTCGATGATGATTTTGGAAAATTATTGGACGGAGAGAAATATTCAATAAAAATTACGTATCTTTTCCATTATTCCGAAATTTTATGGAACTGTCACGGAATTTTTCCAGAGCGTTCCGTAATTTTTATCTGAATCTCCTGCGAAAAATTACGATGCTGTTACTTAAATTTTCTTACATTTGAGTTGATTCCGTAATTGGTGAGCGAATTGTGAGTTCCGTAATTTTGACTGAACATTTCTCTCCGTGTGAGCAATTTTCGGAAATCGGAAATCAATAAAAATGTTGGAAGGAATTGCCTGCAAAAAATTATAAATCTAATAGAATGAAGGATGAAGGAATAAAATGTGGAAAATGGTTTCAACGTCTCTCTCCAGATTTTATCACGCCAGAAAATACAAAAATTCTGTCGACACAAGCTCATTCTCTTCACCCCACCTATCGTAACCACTCTTTCAAGAATTTCTTCTGTCCAAACACCTAAAACTTTTCACCTGAAAATTGAATGAAAAAAGGGAAAAAGAATTTAAACACGCAACTGGCGTTGGGTATACGTATGCAAACACACCTATCACGAAGAGTTGGTGTATCACTCCGTGTGGATCTCGGGCGGGTCGTGCATCGTCAAAAAGTGCAAACACTGGAGGAATTGTTGGTCGAGAATGGGGCTTATGTATTTCACTGTCGTTGATTCCTAATCAAGTGTCCTCGAATGAGACTATGACAATGGCCATTACTCATATTCGCGATTAGATGCTCCAGATATAGGGTCATCATGGTCGTCAACTGGTTCTGAGGGAATGGGGAAAAAAATTTCTAGAAAACACACGGAAAAAAAAAACTTGAATCAAGTATATTTAATACTTGAATTAAGTATATTTTATACTCAATTCAATTTTTTTTCCGCGCACTGACGGCAAAGTCTGAATTCAGCTGCTTTCGAAGGAAAGTTCATTTTATTTTTGTTTTCAAATGAGAAATTTTTCATTCATTCATAAAAAAAATTTTTTGGGAAAGCTACCGGAAAAGTTCACTTTCCGGAACGTTTTAGTGACTGTAAAATAACGTTAAATAAAACTTAAAATAAATTTTTGTTTCTTTAATTGAAAAAAAAAAATTAAAAACAAAGTAAACGAAAAAATATATTTTTTTTATTTATTTAATTTTTTATTTTTTATTGAAAAGTACAATCTCACGCCTTTGTAACCCGATACACTACTATGGAAGTGAAAAATTTCAACAAAATTTTGTTATTTAAAAGAATATATAATTAAAGATAATATTAAATAATAATAATAACAATAATAATAATAATATATCAAATATAATATCAAATATATATTATATTTAATATAATATGAATAATGATATTTAATAAAACAAATAATATAAAATACTCATTAAAATTACCGAATAATGAACTGCCCCATTTTTCCCCTCCAATTCTGTTTTTTTCTTTCAATTCCTCATTTCGTGTTTTATCGAGAGAAGCGTTCGTCAGATGTTGCGACCTCTTCACGTATTTTTTTTTAGCCGAAACAATCTGACGATTGGTCTTGGGGTTAATATGAGGAAGGAAGAGACGACTCGAGACGATATGCAATTAAGCTGTCGATGGCATATCGAGATGGCTTACCTCTGTTCATCCAGTTCTTCGGGTCTGATCCTCCAGCCCTCAACGGTGCAATTAATTGCCTGGTTAGCCGATTAATGCGTTGAAACTGATCGAGTATGGCAATTTGCCCCGTGGCCAGCAGGCGGAAGCTATTCGCATCACCTTTTTGACCTTGATCTAAAAAAAAAATTATTTACATCTTTTGTTGAATTTTTTTTACACTTCAAACTGACTCATCAATTATTGTTGATATTCCATGATTATTTTGATAATAATCAGCAGAGTAATTAATAACTGTCAGTACAATTACTATTTATTCAATTATAATTAAGAAATTGGTTTTTTGTTTTTTATTTTTTTTTATTAGGGGAGGTTGCGGTAAAACGGACACTTTTGACTTTTTTTAAATGTTAATGAGGCGTTGAAATGTTGCTAAAATTCAATCATTTTTTTTTTCAATACAAAGAACAATTCTTTCCCTTTGTGACGAGCCTAAACTGAGCTCAATTGATCAATTTGTTTCGGAGTTATGAATTTAAATAAAGTTTAAATGTGCGTTTTACCCCACCCTCCCCTACTATTAATTTTTGAAAGTTATTATTGCTCTTCAAAAACTTAAGGGTAAAAATCCTTTTTTTCAACATTTATAACTTGGAAAAGACATTTTATTTGAATAAGTGCAAGAGTTGTTTTTGTTGGAAAAGTATTGACTTTGTGAAAAAATGTTTTAGAAACAATTTTATTTGTTTGAAATGATGTCGAAATTTTTCATTCTATTAGGTTCATAATTAGTTCACTGTGAATGGAGATTGATA